AGTGAGTCTCAAAATCCAAAAAGTACAAACAAGAGGCAGGACAGTTGCATGTGATCTTTTTATTCATTAGAACATTTCTTCACTGATTTTATATTATGCTTCCACAGTGTTATTGGACCACCTTTATTTTTCAGCACAGCCTGAACTCTCTCAGGCGAGCCTTTGTGTCATTTCTTTAGTGTTCAGGAGTAGTTCTCCAGGCTTTTTGAAGGACATTCAAATCTCTTCTTTGCAGGGACGTGCAGAGGGGGGGGGCTAGAGGGGCTTGAGCACCCGCCCCTTTCCTGATGAGTGCCCAAAGTGCCCTTTTGTTGAGGCAACTTTTAAATTTTTTTTATTTATTTTTTTATTTTTTTATGTGTGTGTGCGTGCGGAGTCCTGTCTGTGCCCCTCAACAATAATATTTAACTATTAATCATAGTTTTGCTAAATAAAAGGATCTGGCTTGCATCAGTCACATGATCACATTTAACCAATGATCGCCCTCGACGGCAGAACGCGCTGGTTACGAGCCGGGAACGAGCTCACAAAGAGCACGCGCATTTTTTGCGGTCCGGAGCTGTAGGAGAAACACAAGTTAACTCAGAGACACAGACTGATGCGACACAACCAGTAAGTAGGTGTACAGCGTACACTGTAGTGTATAGCACACAGGAGTATTAGCTTATTACGTACACGTTGGTAAGCTGTCTTGTGGCAATTTGACGAACTGAAACAAACGAGCGTGCTGTGTGTGCAACAGCGCGACAAACATTACCTGTCCTTTTATTAACTGCACAAGTAGTGCTGGTCACAGCTGATGGCTACCTGTGTAAGGCTGTCATGGGTCTGTAGCTCTGTCACCGTTTTAGGGAACATATTTAGTTTTAAAGTATTTAGAACATATTTAGCTTTAAAGTAAGTTTCTGGGCATTTCCTGCCTTTCTGGAGGGAATATATTTCACTAAAAAACGATCTAATATGCATGTCCATATAATAATTATTATAATTATAATATATTAAAAAACACATGCTGTATTTTAAAGAACATACATTAAGAAGCAGATTATATTACATTTATATTTTAAATAAGACAAAATTAGGATTTTACAGCAGTAAAATGATTGTATCTCTACAGTTTAAAAATGTAATAAGCTTTGCCCTGCACAGAGTGGATAGTGAAACAAATGGAATCATCATAAATACATTATTTCATATTTATTACTTCCCCCTCCTCATTGCTTTATTATTGTAGCTCTGGTAATGAATAATAATGTAAGGATGCCCATAGTATATACAGTATTCTGAAGAAGGTCTAAAATGTCACTGTGTGTGCATGTGTGTGTTTTATTTAGCTGGATTTAAAAAAAATTTACTCATGATATAACATTGTGCAGACATGGCTGGTAAGGACATGAGGAGGAAACAGTAGGAGCTGTATGAGGCTACTAAAGGCAGGGCTATAACATTTTGCTGTCATCATTTTATTAAAGATTAAGTGCAAGAGTTGTTAGGTGTGGATAATTAGATTATAGTTTATTGCAATAGCAAGTTGTGCCTTGTTCTCAGATAGACAGCAAGTGGAGAGTGATATATGAAATGATGGGAAGGAAGGAAGAAGAGAAGCAAAGAGTGATTCACAGGCAGAGCCGAGTTTGTCACAGTTTTTCGTTGCCTTATGGTTCCAAGCGCTGTCACCAATCTTTGCATTTTGTTATTATCTCATGACACTTGTTTAATCAGCTACCATCTCTCCTATGGACTTTTTAATGTCTACAGTCTCAGATCAACACAGCCCTGCCCTTCCCATATTAGATTCTTGATGAATGTGTGTTGTTGTTATTCAGCCTGGTTCAATGTGCCCCTTTTTAACTTTGAGCACCCGCCCCCTTAAACCTCTCTGCACGTCCCTGCTTCTTTGGATGTTGGCTGCCTTTTGTTTTGTTCTCTGTCAAGATGATCCCACACTGCTTCATAATGTTGAGGTCTGCGCTCTGGGAAGGCAAATCCATAACCGATAGTGTTTCTCTGTGTGTGCATGATTTTAATGCACCAGCGGTGTGTTTGGGATCATTGATATGCTGAAAAAGGAAGGTGCTGCCAATCAGATGCCTACAGATGGCATTGAATGGCAGCTCAAATTTTATTCTGTTTTTTCTTCGTTCATATACATACTATCAGCTTTTCAGTTAATATCACCTTGTTGGTGCAAAATAACAGAGGTGGGACCAAGTCATTGTTTTGCAAGTCTCAAGTAAGTCTCAAGTCTTTATCCTCAAGTCTCAAGTCAAGTCTCAAGTAATGTCAGGCAAGTCAGAGTCGAGTCTCAAGTCACTGGTGTAAAAGTCCGAGTCAAGTCACAAGTCTGAAACTTTGAATTTCAAGTCCTTTCGAGTCTTTAAAAAAAACAAACGAAAAAATAATGTTGCAGTTATGCTAAATGTAAATATTAGACCATGTAATTTTTAAATCTGTGTTTTTCTCAACACATGACAAAATAGTGAACTTAGAAAATATACACAAATTGTGAAATTGCACCTCTTTAAAATGCAGCTCAATTAAACCTAGCTCCAAGAATAATTTTCACCGACAGTTCTGAGATAAGCTGCATGTTATTCTTGGATGCGGTTGTAGGACCGGCTTTAAAATCGCATGACAAAAATATCATACACATTAAAAAAAACTGTATCACCAACGTAGCCTGGAAAACATTTGCTAGTTAGATGAAGTCAGCTATCTCATCGTAGCATATTTATATGCATATTTATAATCATACGGTTCTTGGAGTGAGTGCATACACTCATGAAGTTTAGTAACTTCAGGTCACTGCAACAAGCCCAGGTACAGTTTACCGACGGATGGGTGCAGGACTTTGAAATGCACCGTGTAGAACGAAAGACCATCGTACGTATCATAAGTTTACCAGTCTCACAAATCGTCTTCATAAATACACATTCCTTAACCGTTTATTAATAGGACCTTTGAGCTCAACGGTAATTAATTAGTAGTAGAAATAATTTCTGGTACGCATCACAGAAATGTAGCAGTGACAATAATACTGTATGCTGTAATCGTACTGGGCAATTAGTGATACAAAAAATCTGTTTTATCCTGTGAATAAAAGTATATATTTTTGTCAATGTACCATAATAACAGAAGCGAAACGCAATATTGTGTCAGGACAATTCACTATTTATGCACAATAAATAAAGGAGCATAGCGCAACAATTTCTGTTCAGCGCCAGACTTGCTTGTAACCTATATCACTAATTATGTTATGAAAATGAGGTATTAACTACTAAAAAACACTGACCTTCGTGTAAATGCTTGGAGCAGACTAACCTGTGAGCTGGAGTGTTCTGGGACGTTATATTTGGTCTTTGAATGGCTGCAATCCAGGCCATCCGTCGCGTCTTTGTTACTTCGGAAACATGAACAATTTCTCTTCAACGACGTAATCTGATAACAACCGATCTCTTTACCCGTCGGCTTCCCGTGGCTGTCATGCGACCGGCTATTGCAGTTAATAATACAACAGCTTCTTGACATTTTTGTGTTTCTTTTTATCGCTGTATAACTGATTTTAATTGAAAGCCTGCGTGCGCTAGTACCGCTTGCCACGAGTTCCCAGAATCCTTTGCGGTTCTACCCGTGAATGACGTCACATTTTCAATCTCTATATAATATGCATGCTAAATTTTATATTTGGGGTAAAATATCAAGTCTTTTCAAGTAAACCGGTTCAAGTCCAATTCAAGTCCCAAGTCATTGGTGTAAAAGTCCAAGTCAAGTCACAAGTCTTAGAACATTTTTTCAAGTCAAGTCTAAAGTCATAAAATTAATGACTCGAGTCTGACTCGAGTCCAAGTCATGTGACTCGAGTCCACACCTCTGCAAAATAATATCAAACTGTTGTATTTTTCATAGCTTTAACTAAAAAATTGGAAGCTTTTGCAACAGGCTGCTAGTAACAAATTGCTTAAATATACAATTTAAAATGGGTTCTTAACAAACACAAAAGTGGTTCATCCCGTGGGTTATGTGCTTCTTTTATGCTTGAATGATCCATTGGTCAGTGGCTTAACAAACAAACAAACATGCGTTTAACACCCCAGGTACAAAAACTGGACTGAAAATGCATGAAAAGGCAGTCTAAAGAAAAAAATTGAAAGGCCTTGAGAAAACGTGAAGAACTATTGCTCAAAACCACTTTGAAAATTGCAAGATGTGTGCTCATTGGAAGCAAAATATCATGAAATAAAGTGTGACTCAAGACTTTTGTACAACACTGGAAATTCTAATGTTAAAGAAATTGTTTGTGACATTGAGACCAAAAGACAAATACATTATTTTACAAAACTGAAGTGAAATTAAACAGGGAAAGTCTCCGTTTGGATCATCTCTAGATTTATTAGCTTTTCTCTAAAGAAAAAGCAGGAGTTTCACTGAAACATTGTGCCACATGCATCCTAAAAGAAACTAACTAACTAACTAACTAACCGTAACCAGTATGTCTGCAATCTTAGCCACCTTCTTTCAGCTGGCAGTGGCGAACCACAAAGGAGAAGAGCCACAGAGCTCTATGAATGTGTGTCTGATCAGTTATAAAATGCCCTCACTGTTGTATTTTAAATGTTTTCTGTCCGCAGTATACACATCATATTGTCTAAATTAAAACCCACCCTTTACCACTTTTGATTTAACCCGTTCAATTAGACCCCAGACCCTACATTTACAAGCAATAAATTGAAATCCACAAAGATGGAGTCCCTTAAATACAGAAGAGTGCTACTAGAACAGCTGAACAACATGACAGATAAAAGTACAGTTGATTACTGATATGAACTTTATGTCATTCTATAACATAGATAGGAGGGCTTAAGCACACACCTTTCTCAGTGAGAAATACGCCCAGTGATGCCTCGCACACATATCCAGCAGTAAAGATTTCCAGTCTAGGTTGAGCTATCTAGGGCTTTTCAGTCGTGCCTGGACAACGCTGTGAATGCGCATGTCAGGATCGCTGCAGAGATCCCGCTGCCTCGGCTCTCACGATTAATCGTCGGGATGGTGTTGACAGCGAGAGGCAGCAGGCGGCCGTTTTTACACGTTTAAATAAATGTCAGGACCTGATAAAATTTATTTATTCAAGTCCAAGTCAGGTTCTCCGCAACAACACCGTTTGTGGAGGACGAAGTTAATGTTAATGATGGAATTCCCAGTCTCTGCTGCTAGATGGAGAAACCGAAAGGGTGGACTCGTTATAAATAATTAGAAAAAAGAGAGCCCGTCTGCTGCTAAAATAAAAGGAAAATGCATCTGCACCAGGTGCTGACGGGAGCTGTGAACCCAGGAGATTGCTGCTATTCGGTGGGAAGTGTGAACGACATTCAGTTCACGGTAAGATTTTATTTTGATATTGTTTGCTCAAAGATGACACCCATTGAAGCTAGCGACTAAGTTAGCTAGCTGGGTAGTTAGCTAACCAGCGTTATATTGGCTGGAAACGGGCTGGCTAGCGAGCTAAAGCACTGGCTAGCCGGGTAGTGTGCTAGCCAAACTGCCGCACCGAGTGATTCACAAACAGTGGGTTGAGACTACGCGGGGCATCCGTGTCACGAGCTCCTTTTTTAATTTACCGTGACAGTCAGTCACCGATAAGCAGGACCCCACGAGTACATGATCCGCTGCGGTGTTTGCATTAGCTATTTACGTGAAGGTTTTTGACATTATTCTCCCCAAGAAATTTTAAAACAGCCACTCAAATGACCTTTAGCTGCATCTCGTAACATTAGAATTACTGCAAGGGAATCCCTTTGCGCAGCCATAACATTTATTGGCAAATATTTGCAGTGGGATACGCGCCGGTGAAATTCGTTTGCAGTGCAGATTAGGGGCGACTTGTGTGTCAGGGTTTGACGACGTTGCGCACCTTCACAGAAGGAAAACGCTGTGTTTGGTGTGTTTGCAGAACTAGCTTAGCTTGCTCCCATTTGGCGTTAAATCCTCCTCACAGATCGTTAGCTCGCTGTCATCCTGGCATCAGCTGCGCCAGCCGTGACGTAGAGAGCCTTATATGGATACATGAGTTAGGCGGCTGAATGGCCGTGTTTTGTCACTGGGGAAGAGCATAATCAGAAGACATTTGCCATTGCTTTGACTTATAAATGAGTTACATTTTTCATGACCAAGTGTTTGATGTTCTTTAGAGGTTTACAGTTTTAGATGGGGCAGTCGGACATCAGTCACATAGACTTGATGGGTTTTTAGGCATCTTGATCAAACGCTATTATCTTGAGCTGAGTCTGCCTCTGTTGCGTGTTGTGTGTTAAAGATATGTTAAGATCTATCTCAAGTCGACCCCGAATACATAGACAAGTCAATATTTCGCTTTGTGCTACAGGACATGGCAAGAATCTGTAATGTCACAGTACACAGTCATCTTTCACCCCCAACAAATTGACAGGCTGAAGTAAACGTGCAGCAGAATCCAAAACTGTTGCTCTCTGTGTTGGTGTTGAATCGATAGCAGAAGAGGAATGATGACTTTACTGATAGCCTGATGAATGTACTTTATTTTGGCTTATTACAGCTGCCAGATCTGGGCTTGTTCCTGTTGCCTATTAATGAGGTGGTGTTTTGTCATTGCGTCTTTCAGTATCCTCAAATATGCGCTACAGCAAAGGACAAAGATGATTTTGAAGCTAAAGCATTGCATATCGCTTTGCCGAAAGGGCCCAGTTTCTGTGCCTGGTGTTTTCTTTCAGTGTCTGAGAGGGTATTTGAAGAGCACTGGGCTTCATGTCCAGCAAACACATTTACACTCCCACTGACCCTTAGGGCTCGGAGGCCAGATCCTGACAAAACGCACGAACACATACGTACATATCTAATCTAGAGCAGCCATGAGGGCACCAGCTTCAGCGTGGCGTCTGCAGTGTTTCATTCTAAACTATCTGCATTGACATATTGACAGAAATCAGAAGAGATATTTTTAAATAGAGTTGGAAAGTGAAAAACAGAGATGTTGCCTTCTCTCTGTGCAGTGGCCTGATAGATGGTGGTTATGTGCTGAGAAACCAGAACAGTTTGATCTATAAGTTGGAATTAAAGGGAACAGTACATATTTAAAAATATAATATTGGCAGATTTTTAATAATCACGTGTTGTTTTTTCTGTCGTTAACTGTGGCTAACACACAGCTGTAAAGTTTGGTTAGAAAGATCATTTTCATGTCTATTAAAGTGATTCTTAAGCCTTAGTCGGTGTCTTAATATCTGTAAAAAGCCTAGTGGGTTTGATATGCAGATCTGCAGATGTGTGATCTGCTAAAAATAGAATACATCTGTAAACTAAGCACAAGGAGAGGAGGAGCACGTACTCCCTCCCAAAGCTCCATATTTCTGAAAATGTTCTTATAGTTACTGCAATAGAAGAAGGTGCTGCACATTGATCAAAGATGGATAGGATTGTCTAAGATTACATAAATCTTGGCCAAAAAATGTTTGTTAATTATGTATCTATGAAGAAAAAGTGTCACTAAAACAGGTCCCCTGTTGTTCTAAAAGCAACCTGCCTGGCTGGCTACATTGATTCAGTTGAATATGCTATGACTACCTGAGAGAATGAAGAATGATTGAATCTAGATGTTGTATTTGGCATTAAAACATTCATTGTTTTCTTGCAATCTTGCTGCAGAGAACAGTAAAGACCATGCCATGTGACTATAAGTGGAAGAGTCAAAGTACAGGTCTGTGCCATACAATTCGCAAGGGTTAACATCTTACAGACTGATAGACTTACCAGGTTACTGCAAGTCAGAATTGATCAATCCTTTAAAGAAAACAATGCACCAAAAGCTTTTTATGTTTACTGTAAGTCCTGCTAGCTTGCACAAATATGCCACAGATGGTAGCAGCTGGGGCTTTGGAACATGATCACGTGATTATGTAAAAGTGGCATTTGATGTAATGAAGGCAGAAGTGATCTCTCACTTTGTTCCTCATATCTACTTTCATTACCACAGAACACAATTACATTCACTCCTTTATTTTAAAAGACATTAACAAATACCTCTCTGTCATTATGCAAATAGCATTTAAAATGAGACTGGCAAAATGTCCCTCGTTTCTTTAGCTCTTATCAGTAATAACACATGTTATAGATACCTGCGCTGTCTTTCATGAGAATCACGATTTTTTTGGCTTAGAATTGAGATCACGATTCTCTCACGATTTTCTTTTCCAGTATAAATATTTATTGCACTTATTAACTGCACATCAACTTCGTAACAGTTGAAAGTGAACATAAAAACAATAAATAAACATAAAAACAACTAATGTCTCACGTTTTGTTGTTGCCGCAAAATGTTGTACTGCTTGAAATTCCGTCTCCACCGTTGCTCGATACTGCGTGTATAGAGCAGGTAGTGCAACAATAGAAAAATAGTTGCGGGACAGCACTGTGTAGCGTTTGTCTAGGGTGTTGATCATTTTCCTAAATCCCTCATTTTGCACAGTGTTGATGGGAGTCATATCTTTGGTCAGGTGTTAAGTGATAGCCTATGTAATTTCTTTGTGCCTGCGGGAGTTCGACGGGTATAGGGAAGCACTGTATAAGGGTCCCGTTATTGATGTTTGGGTGGTTGACCGGGACGGATTTTCTCCTGTCACTTTCTCGTCATCCCTGACGTGCTCTCCGTTATTTTTTTCCCTGCTAATTTTAGCATCACATGGCACAGCTTCTGTATCACGTGGTATAAGGCTCCGCCCTTGTCATTTGTTGAGCAGGAAGAGTGAGCGCTTGTTTTCATGCAGATTACGTCCCGGATCAAAATTCGGTACAATCGGCATCTTCGTCATTTTTTTTTCTTTTTTTTTTCTTTTTTAAATCGTTGTCATTTGGAAATGAGATCGCACATAAGTATGAATCGACATCGCGATTTTCTAACGATTAATCGTGCAGCCCTACTCTCAAGTAGATAGTGCTCAAAAATACATAGTTTGTATTAGAGCTGGGCGATAGAACGATAACGATATGTATCGCGGTATAACTTTTTCTCGATAGAAAAATTAAACTATCGCGATAGACCTCGCCGCTCTTGTCCTCTTTAAAAAAAAAACAAACAAAAAAAAAAAAAAACAACCAATCCAAATTAGGTAGCGCAGAGCCGAACCAATCACAGCCGCAGCGTCACGTCACGTGACTTGTTACGTACAGCACAAGTGCCAAGCCGCACATGTGTATTTGTTTGGGAAGCAGCCAGCCACCGTACCGCCCGGGTAATGGAGGAAATGAGTGTGCCGACTAGAAAAATCAACCGAGCGTGACCGAAGAGAAAACAGATGATGGTTCCAATGCCGGAGAGATTGTCGAACGGAAGAGCCATAGAAGTTCCGTAGTGTGAAGTTATTTCGGCTATTTCAAGTCTGACAAAAAACAGAGTAGCGTGCACTGTAAATTGTGCCGAAAGCAAGTCTGGAAATACAATAAACTGGTGCATGCGCTACGTCCACACGTACCCGGGTATTTTTGAAAACGCAGATTTTTCTATGCGTTTGCACCTTTCGTCCACACGTAAACGGCGTTTTTCGTCACTGAAAACGAAGATTTTTAAAAACTCAGTTTTTGCATTTACGTGTGGACGAGAAAAACGGAGAAAACGCAGCGTCAAAGGTGTGCGCATTTTTTGACGTCACACTGTGTGCCACGTTATTGTTTCGGTGAAATGAATTTCTACAATACTGTTACTGTTAATTGTGCTCTCTGCAGTGTTTAAATGCTTACATATACACACATTTACTGTCCGTCCACACATATGACTCGGTTCTGCTTCTATGCCCCAGCTTTGTTTACTTTTTCCCACCAAGGCTTCTAGACTTCTGATTGGCCAACCTTTCTGCACGGTTAGGAATCTAGCGCCACCTGCTGCTTTGGCATGTTCATAGCAGCGTTTTCCTTCATTTCTGCCTTTATGTGTGGACGGGATTATTTTTTAAAACGAAAACGGAAAATCTCCGTTTTCAAAAATACCCGTGTACGTGTGGACGTAGCCTGAGTCTCTGACTGGAAGCGCTAATTCGTCATTCGGCTTTTGTCAGACTAAAGTAACTGTTAAAACTGTTTGAAAAGCTCAGCTATACAACAAGGAGAGATTGAGAATTTCCTTTTAGTTCTCAGTTTATTTGATATTGACAAAAGTTAGTCAGTTTTGTCTGTTCTTCTGTAAAACAAACTAAGATTTATTTTTAGAATTAATATTTTGTTTCTAAGTGGAATTGACAATTTAGTCTGTTTCGTTTGTTCTATTTTGAAACTTAAACGCTTTAGCGGCTGCCTTTTGTGTAGTTTGCAATATTTGCCTTTATTTATCTGAAAAAGTCTCATGTTCCTTAAGTACATCTACCCTGTTGAACGTATTATGGGAAATAAATATTTAAATAAAAACAAGCTGCTGATTATTTCACATTTTACTTGTGAGCAACGGCACATTTAAATCTTACAAATATAGTTATTTGGCTTATATCGTGATAGATATCGTTATCGCCTGAAATGAAAAAAAACAAAAAACATATCGTGATATGAAAAAATCTCATATCGCCCAGCTCTAGTTTGTATTTAACAGAAAACTGACAGTTTATTGTTTCTTTGCTTGATTGCAGCTCTTTCGTCAGTAGACAGACGATATTTATCCATTGGCGGCAACATTCTTCATATAAGCAGCTTATATGTCTGACAGGGAAGAAATGCAGCTCCATCAGGGTCACACTCGTTAAGTCGGTGGATTTAGAAGCTGTAGATACTTGAGTGTGATGATCCAAATATATTCAGACACAATCAGTGGCCGCCTAATTTAATCTTTTACTGAATCAAATTACTATCCTAAAAGTTAGCTGGGCATTACATTGATTAGACTTTTCAGCAAACGGTGGTGTTTGCAATAGACTGCCATTTAAATAAATGTACTGTTGACTAAGTCATAGTGTTTCACATCTCTTAGTTGATCTACTTTAATCTTAGAATCTGTCTCCCTGCCTCTCTAATATCCTTTCCCTTCTGCACACGAATAATGCCGTGCAGACAGATCAGAGGTAATGCTTGTCAGAGGCCAAAGATGCTATAGACAGGAGACGTGATTGTCTAGATGTGACCGTGGAATATCTCAGTCTTTAAAAACACCAAAATAAAAGACAAACCTGAGGTATAATTTGACCGAGAATCTCTTACCTGATGATGGTGACACTGTTGTATTTTTATGTTTTTTATCCATTTAAATCTTCTCTCTGTTTGTTACACGGTGCCAGTCTTTGTCATAGGGTAACGATACATGTATTTGTCCCAAACCAGTGTGGGACATTCAATTCAGAATGATTCCTTTGTTTGGTACACCATCTATTTGGCTCTATATACTCTAGAGCCAAGTTCCACCTGGATCATATTTGGCAGTGCATCAGTTGTCAGTTAGCAATAGCATGTGGATAAGCTTTGAAAGCTGAGCACACACTGCGATGATTATTAATCTTGTATGATGTGCTAACGCCATGTTTTAATAGTGTCTTTCCACACAGACTATCACACTACACAATCACAAAGCAGTACAAAGCACCACATATAACAAAAATATTATTTGCTTAGTACTCTATATTAAAATGCATCAAGTGTTGGCTTTTTTACCATGAATATCAGAATTAAATTTCTATTACTAAAAAATGCAGTCCTTTGTATGCCAACCCTCTATGTGGATTTGAGGATGATTTAAAAAAACAACAACGATGGGTCACCCTCAATTAACTTGGGTATATTTAAGCTCACTAGCTCCAGGTCCTGTTGTGTCTAAATGTGAATGTGAGGGTGCAAAGCAGTCCTAGACAGCGCGTGACGGTGACCGCTTTTAATTCCAGCTGTAATGTTCAGAGGGAAGTGTCGCAGTAAGAATGAAGTACACACTGCACCTCCCTTATTCCTTTCTACGTGTCACTCACATTTTAAATTATAGTATTTCAAGTATGGTCCTATGACAGTTTTCACTATAACTTCATCCCCTGATCGTCACTCAGTGTTATATAACTAGCTATAGCGTGTTTTGTGTGACCTAGTGGTTCTCAGCGTCTCCTCCTGTTCTCCTGAATAATGAAAGACACAAGCCGTCATCCTGACTGTACTGCTGCTGTGAGACCAGTTTGCTGGTGTCCTAGGTGCCGCTGTCATTCTGCTCATGTATGCCAGCTGCTGGCAATCAGCATCATATCAATTTACCTTCCAGTCGATGTTCCAAATCTTTATATTGTAGGTATTACACCGGGTCTGCACAAGTGTATAAAAATCCTTGCTGCTAGACTGTTGCTCATGCACTGTCTAAAACACAAAATGTAAATATTTTGAACATTTAATTTAACTTTTTAAGCTCCTCTTTGGTTTTATTTATGAATGAGACTGAAAGTGTGACAGTTACAATGTAATATTACTTAGTTTTGTGGCTCGCCCTTGTTCATCTGCCAAGATGAGAGCGAAAGCAGAAGTTTTGTTTATGAACGTTTGTCTGTTCAGCAAAACTGAAAAGGAAACAAAAAATGCACACTGTATGGACTTTACACCATGGATATCCTCCCATGGTTAAGTATTGCAGGTGGAAAGGAACTTGTCTGGAATTGGTTTTATTTGATTTGTATGAGAAGTAACTAAAACTAGTCTTACAGCAGTTATTCGGCAGTGCGATAGCATGCATATAATGGTGAATGTGATCAGTGAAATTTTTGTCTCATCAATGTTTATCAGTTTTCTTTAAATATTGTGTGAAATATGATCCACAAAATGTGTCTTAGACTATCTTAGATGCTGGGGATATGTGCCTCATATGCTTTTCTGTTTTAGAGCCTGATTGATTTATTGGCGGGATGATATTAGCTACTTTCAGTTCAATCAGTATTGGCATTTATAGCTGCTGACAAATGAAAATTAAATGAGAGATGGGAGAAACACCCTTCGAATATGTGGAGATTTGTCCACCAGAGGGCACTCTGCAACCTTCCTGTTTGCAACAGCGCTGAATGCAACAAAAACAACAAGCAGCTGTTCTAAGCGCAGTCAGGCAGAGCATAAACTAGTAAATAACTAGCCAACAAATGTCGGGAATATGTTTCATGTATCTAAAAAGGAAAACAAAATGTTGACCAGTACCAAAATATTAGCTTTTTAAATCCCCAAACATTGGTCTTAAAAATCCTGCATTGGCAAGGCTCAGGTCGTTCAGATGCAGTGTCACATGTGCTGTTAAAGGCTCAGTTTTTCATTCAGTGCCACATGAGAATGATGTTCACAAATGCTGTTTTCAATAAATCATGTGAAATCATGCTATAGTGCTATAAAATCACCACATATGTGCATTAAATGATATTATGATTGCAGTGGCTGATCAGTCCTGTGTATGCACTTTATTTTCAGGAAAATAATTTTTTTTCAGTGTGATAAATGGTAAAACCAAAAATGACCAATATCGGCGTGTAATAGAAACAGATCAGGAGGTTGTTTCAGCGACTGCAGAGTCACGCTGTTGTTATTCTTTCTCCCCACCATTCAGCTACGAATGTAATTTCCTGTAGACGCCTCTTTCCAATTGTTGAGCTGTTCTTTCATGCCTCATGTGATTGACACAGCTTTTGCAGATATTGTATATGCTTGGCTATATATTGTCCATGTAGTTAAAATCAAGTCATAAAAAATATTTGAAGTAGTAAAAATAGCATAGTGAAAAGATTTGCATATAGAATGATCTCCAGCTTCCAGACACATTTTGCAATTATTGTAATTTTAAATCTCAGTGTCTTGATTACATTTGTTGAATGACTTAAAATGTGATTTTGTTTTTCCTATACTCTGGTATTTTCAGGCCTATGGCTCAGGATGCGACGTAGTGATCTTGGCTAGTGACTTTGAGTGTGTTCAGATTATCCCGGGAGCTCAAAATGGAAACATACAGGTGGGCTGTGTGGAGTGCTCCCACCAGCTTGGCAGGGTAAGTGTTAAATGCTCACAGAGACGCACTCCCACACACAGCTTTAGTTTTTTTTGTCCTGTGGCTAAAAGATTTTATCAATTATGCTGAGCGGAAAGAGGTACATTTTTCCTCGTTTGCATTTGTCTTCAACTTCTCGTCTTCCTTTGCCATTTCGCTCTCCTGCACCACACCACACCTTCCTTTTTCCTGTGGGAGTGACTGTGCAAAAGCACTGATGGGGTGAGTAATGTTGTGATGATGAACACAGCTCTTTATTTTTAGATTGCTGCATCCTACGGAAACACAGTCTGCATCTTTGAACCTCTTTCTATCAACCCAAATAAACGCCACAAGGTGAGTACCAGAGCCAGCTTTTTAGGCAGATTTAAGGATTTAAATCAGTTTGTAGCAGATTTAATTACACCTTTGTTCCACTAACACTGCATGGTGTGTGTCGCTCTCCCACCACTAACAGCAGCTTAACTATCAGTGGCAAAAGACAGGACAGTTCTTCCTTGATGCCATCACCTACAACCTGGCCTGGGACCCACAAGGTACACAAATGCTTTCTATGATTACCAGATAAAGGCAGCTCCTTCTCCTACCACCCTTTGATTTGGCTGAAACAGCATGTGCATTATGTAAGAGTCACAGTTTGTATGTGGCTCTGCGTAGTGTAGTAGTCAACGTGGGACATGAGGTGTGTAACACAGTGCTTTTGTGTCCTCAGGGAACCGTATCCTAGCAGCAACCGAGCGACTCCAGCTGTGGGAACCTCCACTGACGGATGCCCTGATTGAGGAGGAGGATGGGCAGATGATTGACGACAAGCCCCACCCTGTCCTCAGTGACTGGAACTGTGTCTGGCAGTGCAAGTGCGTTTTGGCTTACATTCTATATACTGTTTTATTAAAAAACAAAACTCGCTGCGTCAGGGTGATGCGCCTTACAAAGCTACCGTTTTAGGATAAATACCTTGACATTTAACTAACCAGTAAATTAAGTGTTGAACAGACCAGATACTTTTTCCCCACCTCCTCTGATCTCTTTTTGTGGAATTGAAGATGTTTTCTTCAGCCAAGTTTGTCTAATTTTAAGTGGAATCTAGAAATTATTTAAAATCCGTTTTGAGAAAGTTGAGGTGGATTTTTAGACCTCTGCACTGAAAAGGTATTATATTTTTGGGTTCTGTGTCTGTCTACCTGCCCCATCCTTTTAAACATGATAACACTCAAATGCAGAAAGGGATTTTCTTCAAATTTGGCACCAATCTAAACAGGAAGGAACTGATTAGATTTTGTTTGTCAAAGGTCACAAAAAAAAACCCTTTCTGGTCGTAACTGAATTAAATCATCATCGATGATAACATTAAACAGAAATAAAATTAAAAAAAAAAAAAAAAAATATATATATATATATATATATATATATATATATATATATATTATATATATATATATATATATATATATATATATATATATATATATATATATATATATATATAAATAAATAAAACACACAAATGTTCACAGACCATCATGTTCTTCAAAAACACTTTACAACACACAGTGTAATATGATGAGCATGCCCAGACATGGATGTCGGCTGCAACAAGGCAGTTATTCTAGTTTGTGTACCTTTGAGGCAACAGCTGAATATTTTGCATACATTATTTTTTCACTATTACTTTGGAAGTAAACGTTTTTTGGTCATTTTCTCTTATGCAGTGAAGAGTTAATCACTTCATTGTGCAGAATACATTCTGTAATCTTCCCTTTCCCTCATAAAACCTACAGTCAGTTACTGATTATCAAACACATCTGGCCTTACACGAAGACTAGTCTTCTGAGTCAGCAGGCAGTGCCGCTCTCACGCCTTAAGCTGTGTGAGTAGACACAGACATATGAAACCACATCTGTTACTGTCATATGATGACTAACAGAAAACTACGAAATGGTTGCGACCAACAGTACCTTGTGCACAAAGAAACAGACTGTTTCCATGGAGAAGTGGATGTTAAGGGTTTTGCTGACGCTTGACCACTAACCATGTGAGGTTAACTTTTTGCTGCATTGAACGTGTGAAAATTATGGTGACAGTGTAGGAGCAGGTGAATAAAACCCCACTCACACAGGAATAGAGATCGATCCTTGACCATCTGGCAAACACCTGTGCAAAGGGGGGGAAACGAGTATTTCCCAGAAGGTTGGAAGTGGTTGCTGGGGAAAATAATGGCTGAAGCTCTCAGTTACAGTTGCAGTCCTATAGACCAGCGGTCCCCCAACCCCCGGGCCTCGGACCGGTACCGGTCTGTGAGTCGTTTGGTACCGGGCCGCGAGAGTTGAGGCTCAGGTTTTCAGGGTTTTTATCGGTTTTCAGCGTTATTTTGTTATCGTTTTCATCGTTAACTCTGTTTTCCTGGGTCTTTTCACGTGTGTTATGAATAAATATTTTTTTCGGTACTGGTATTAGTTTTATTTTGTTGTATTTATCCACAACACCTTAAAGGCAAGTCCGTGAAAATATTTTCGGGCATAAACCGGCCCGTGGCGCAAAAAAGGTTGGGGACCGCTGCTATAGACTGCTCAGTGACGTTTTGCTATAGCACTTTCTTTGTGACGGATTTCACTCAACGAGAGCTTTCAATCTGATGGAGCTTCCATTTCCTGCCAGTTGAGAATCTTATTGCCTAACAACCATTGATTGCATTATGTCCAACGTGGTGAACAGCTCTTGAGGAATGTGTTTGGCATCACATGAGAAACCTTAATAGCTGATATTGTTTTTGTTTCTTTTTCCTTTTCTTTTAGGACCGCTGCGTCTGTCCACGCAGCCAAGTGGTCTCCTGATGGAGAGTATTTTGCCACAATTGGAAAGGTTAAAGATTCATGTTAACATTTTTTTATAAATGGCAAATTGTTGAAACATTTTTTTGTACCTCAGTTTGCCTATATAATGATTTTCTGCACATGTACAGGATGACTGTTTACTCAAGGTTTGGTATCCCACTACTGGCTGGAGATCCGCAGTGGTGGTCCAGGACCCGTCTGATAAAAAGCCTCTTCCTGTTCACTTCTCCTTTGTTTACTTGGCTCATCCTCGCTCGGTCACTGGTGTGTCCTGGAGGAAGACCAGCAAGTACATGCCCAAGTAAGAAAGCACACATGATCACACACATAATATGCTGTAAACGTGTTTATTTGTCCACTTTTGTTGTGCGTGCTTGTTGTCTTTTAAAGCCAGACATAATGTTTTGGCTATAAAATGAGGTTTTGCCTCCTTTGAGTGATGCGTTACTAGGCCAGAACGATATTCAGCGCACTTGGTTAAAAACGTGGTTCAATAACTGGGCATCCAGCAATAATTTTATTTTAGTCATGGGGTATGCATACTTAACTCTTGTTCTAAGAAATTGTTGTTGTGTCCCTAAAATGTGTTTTGACTGAACATTTTTAATAAAGGCAAAATGAATCAAAAAAAGAACTACTGAAGGACGATTACATTCTTGTGTTATTTTCTAGGGGTTCAGTGTGCAATGTGTTGCTGACATCTTGTGAGGATGGAGTGTGTAGATTATGGTCGGAGACCCTGTTACCTGAAGACAGTCTGCTTGGTGGACAGATCACTGAGAACACACAGTCCTTCAGCTCTAGCCTGCCAGGCCTGGCAGGCAATAAGGACAAGATCCAACATGCTTTGGAGGTACACTTAGTTCAATCTCAGCAGAAATAATTCATAAATGACCAAAAAATTGAATATTTCTCAGAAAGGAATAACACAGACCTGTTCTCTTGCCTTTATTCCTGTGCTCCCTCTCTAATTAGTCAATCCACCACCTAAAACATCTGCGCCGTGGCCGGCGACGGTCCTCTGCTTTAGTGGCACACAGTGAGCTGCTGCCCTCTCAGCTGGGCACACAGGATGCACACACTCACCGCCACATCACTCATCATGCCAATGCCCTGTGTCACTTCCATATCTCGGCCAGTATTAATCCCAACACAGGTAGTGTTTTTTGTTGGACTGGGTTTTAAAATGAATCAATGTGCACATTGAATGGAGCTGTAAACTTAATCTAAGCTTGTGTAATATTTGTGCTCCTGCCATGTTTCTGTCTGTCAGATATCCCATCAGTGCTAGCTGACTCTGCAGTGTTTAACCCAGACGATGGCACAGGTGGCGGAGGCTTTGTGGTTCACTGGCTCAATAATAAGGATCTTAGCTTCACTTCATCCATGGACCTTTTTATGCTGCAACTCCGTAAATTCTCTGAACAACAGCTGGACCAAACTACTGAGGACCCCTTGGATCCTGAAGGATCCCCTATGAAGTTTGACTTTGGTATGACCAGGCTAACAATATATAAGGCTGCTTAAAACCTACCATGTTAAAGGGCACGTGTAAGACTAAATAATTTTTTGTTTTTGTTTGTTTTTTCCAGACCTGGATGAGATGTCTGACAAAGCATCCTCAGAGCAAGGAGAAGAGGGTGAGTCAGGGGAGCAGGGAAGCACCAAGGCATCCTCCCCAGGATCCAGCTCTAGCATGCCTCTGCCTTCCATGCTGCTAGAGAGGAAGATGGAGACTCTGATCACAGAGTGGAACAAGAGCCCAGACATGCTGTTTACCATCCATCCATTGGATGGATCTTTCCTGGTTTGGCATGTAAAATACTTGGACGAATTCAACCAGGGCATCTTCAGACAGGTTCAGGTGTGCGCAAAAATTCAGAATATGAAAAACATTTTTCAAGCAAATCATAATCTCTTTTCCTAAATTGTAACTTTTCTGTTTTAAATTGAATTCAGTCGTTTACTTGCTCGTACACACCTTGCTCACAGCACAAATTGTGTGACTGTTTTTTCTCAAATATAAATTGACTCAGCATTCCTCCAGCTGTATTTGACATTCAGAATATTTTTTTTTCATTTTCTCCAATAGAGAATTATGGAGAGTACTCTGCGCTTTATCAAGTTACCCACAGAATTAATGTTAATTAGCAAAAGCTGTTATAACTTACTGAAGGAAGTCTTTGTCATTTTAATAAAGTTAGAGCCCAAGTAATTTTTCACCTAATTTTCACTTTGATATGCAGCGAGAAGCTTGCACTGTAGCATCTGGCTGTCCTAGAAAGAGCAGCACTTCAGCACTCCTCTAAGGAGGACCAAACAGGATATTAAATTTAAAAGGACTGAATTTTGGGCTTCAGCTGCACAGATGTTTATATTTGTTCGAAAATATCCCTTTTGCATTGACTGCAAAAATACAGTAGAGTATGAAAAGACTTTAATGCTCTAATATTAAAACATATCTACACAATACAAGTTAAATACGTGTTTGAGTTGGTTTAGCACAGATGAGTAATCCAAAAGGAATATCATTAGGAAGCTGAATTATTATGTTGATTTAAGGGTTAAGACACTAAGAAAATATTCGCAACTGTTTTTTATTTTCCTCCAGGTGTCCTTCTCCTCCCGTATTCCGGTGGCGTTTCCCACAGGAGATGCCAACTCACTGAGTAAAAACATCCTCATGTATGCCTGCACTTTGACTGAGGGTGTAAGCGCTGGAGTAGGCAAGCAGGGAAGGATAGTCCAACATGTGTCCCACTCTGCTTCAGCCTCAGCTGGCCTTAGTTCTGCTGCTGTGACCTCCCCTCCCAACCCTCACATTAGTCCAGCTGTCATGATGGTCTCCAAGCATGTTGATGGATCTCTTAACCAGGTACGAGGTTGAGGTTAACCTCGCTCTTCTTTCTGAGGGCTTTGCTCACATGTTTTGATAAATTGCCACTTTAGCCCAAGATGTTTCCACAGGCTTGACGCAATTCTCAGACAATCTATCATTTTGCAGTTCACACTATAATTTGATGTTTTTTTGCATATTCTGTTTCCCTCACAAAAATCTTTGATTCCTCTGTCTGCAGTGGGCTGTGACATTTGCAGAGCGTTCTGACTTCTCCAATGTACTGACAGTATCTCATAAGTTTCGGTACTGCGGCCATCGTTTCCATCTGAATGACCAAGCTTGTCACACAGTGCTGCCGCTGCTGCTGACCTCCTCTCACCACAATGCCCTGCTCACCCCTCCCTCAGCCCCTGGAAGTTTGGAAGGAGAGCAGCCTCCTACCTTTCCCCTACCAAAGGGTCTTCCCAGGTATAGCATGAAGTAGAGGTAGAGAACTGAAGCCGTCAATAATGGGTTTAGTTTGCTGGTGATAGGCTAGTAATTGTAACTGTTATCCATTATTAAGGAAGCAGCTTCGTAATGCAGCTACAAGGACCTTCCATGACCCCAACGCCATCTACAGTGAGCTGATTTTGTGGCGAGTGGACCACATTGGACCCCTGTCCTGCACTGGAGGCGTCTCAGAATTGGCCCGTATCAACTCTCTGCACACCTCTGCCTTCAGCAATGTTGCTTGGCTACCCACGCTAGTACCCAGCACTGTACTTGGTAAATATACCGTACATTTTTATATAAAGCTGATTTTTGAGTTGTTGTTGTTGTTAGTAGTATTAGTAGTAGTAGTAGCTTAATAACAAGAATTTTGATTAAGAGGGACATTTTCACTCTTGCTGAGACTCTTGCTGCACTTAGTTATTTTTTTTGTCCAGGTGGCAGGAGGATATTCTCTCGGAATTTCTCAGGAAATACTGAACAACTGTCACAGCTACTCACTTCCAGCAGTAGCAAACGAATCAGCAGTATGTTCCAGCTTTGCGGTCAAAATGCAGTGTTCTTCTGTCTTATTGATACTGATGCCATAAGTCTTGAAAGGAAAAAAAAATATACCCTTTCTAATTCAAACCCATTCTCAATCTAGTTTGTCCCGATTATTGCTCTTTGAAGAAGTTTTCTTGGATGGCTCCATTTATGAGTGTCCTTCAGAGTTATGTGCATTGCCCAATATTAAGCCTGCAATCTTTGTGTTGTGTCTAACAGGAACTTACTGTAACAGTGCCAGTGCCTGCTTCGTGGCATCAGATGGTAAAAACCTGCGTCTCTATCAAGCTGTTGTGGATGCCAGGAAACTACTGGATGAGCTGTCAGATCCTGAAACATCTGTGAGTATATATGCACTGTTTTGTTATTGCTCACTGCAATGTGATAGTTTTCATTTAAGGTTTATGTGAATGTATCTGGGTTTTCAAAGGAGCTTGCAAAGAAAAGCGTCTGGACTTCTTTAAGTTGCTTGAAGACGTTTCACCTCTCATCCGAGAAGCTTCTTCAGTTCTAAGGTCAAATGGTGGAGAGTCCCAGATATAAACCTAGTGGGAGTGTCCCCCCACAGAGGGACAAAGGATCCCCTTATGATCCTCTAATCGCCTGAGCCAAGGTGTGAAAACGGCTGTGGGTCCCAATCAGCCAGGGTTTCGGGTGAGCTCATTGTGAAATCTGGCCCCACCCTATCATGCGATTTCCTGAGGTCAGATGGCCCAGGATGTGAGTGGGCGTTAAGGCGTCTGGGAAGGGATCTCAAAACTGGATTATAGATGGCAGACAGTGTCGTAAACCACCGCCTCTGTTCAAAGATGGTCGCTCACAGTGGACATAGATGGCTTCTTTCACTCCTCTTTCAAACCATCTGTCCTCTCTGTCCAAAATGTGAACCAGTTTTTCTCCAAGCATAACATCCTTGGATGCATTTCAGACCCAGCAACACGCTCAGACAAAAACTGGTTCACCCGAAAGACAAAACGCCAAAACACAGACTTAACAATGTGGTGTATGCTGTACAGTGCAGCGAGGAATGCCCAGACCTCTACATTGGAGAGACCAAACAGCCACTTCACAAGCGCATGGCACAACACAGAAGAGCCACCTCCACAGGACAAGACTCAGCAGTCCATCTGCATCTAAAGGACAAAGGACACTCTTTTGAGGATGCCAATGTTCACATTTTGGACAGAGAGGACAGATGGTTTGAAAGAGGAGTGAAAGAAGCCATTTATGTCCACTGTGAGCGACCGTCTTTGAACAGAGGCGGTGGTTTACGACACCAACCGTCTGCCATCTATAATCCAGTTTTGAGTTCCCTTCCCAGACGCCTTAACGCCCACTCACATCCTGGGCCATCTGACCTCAGGAATTCGCATGATAAGGTGGGGCCAGATTTCACAATGAGCTCACCCGAAACCCTGGCTGATTGGGACCCACAGCCGTTTTCACACCTTGGCTCATCAGGGGGTCCTTTTGTCCCTCTGTGGGGGGAAACTCCCACTAGGTTTATATCTGGGACTCTCCACCATTTGACCTTAGAACTGAAGAAGCTTCTCGGATGAGAGGTGAAACGTCTTCAAGTAACTTAAAGAAGTCCAGATGCTTTTCTTTGCAAGCTCCTTTGACTACGATGACCTGGATGACTGAGAACCTTCACAGACCTATCTGGGTTTTCATTACTCACACTGCAGAACTTTAGAATTTGTCATGAGGGACCAAGAACTGAGTTAAAATCAGGCTTATGTGTTGCTTTGTTTGGCTTAAAGGTGTACACCAACCATAAAACAGCAGCTGTCAAATACGCACATTATTCACAGATGTTAACTTTTGCTATAGGCCAGCTTTTAAATAACCTAACAACTATTACATCAGTCACACAGATCCTGAATTTATAGGACATGTGGCCATGTTGTTTTTGAAGCAAAATATGTGTTTTCCTCATGCCCTTATAACAATTTCCAGACTTCATTCCTCTGTACAATATAAAAAATATTATGCAACACTTTCTACCACTCCAATGGTTTTAAATGAAATGCAGTATGATGAAATACAAAGTAGATTATGTGTTTTTTGTGTTTTTTAGTTTTTCCTTGTATATCTCTTCTTAGAAACTCGTGGGCGAAGTGTTCAATATCGTCAGCCAGCAGTCCACAGCCAGACCCGGCTGTATCATAGAGTTGGATGCTATTACAAACCAGGTTAGCAGCTGCTCTGTATTTTTTCTCACCCACTTCAGATCAATGACAGACCAAAATTCTTGGCATGAACTACTGAAACCTCCTGATCAATAGATATAGTAAACTGTGTGATGCTATGTCCATGTGCCTCCAGTGTGGAGCCAGTACACAGCTGCTACATGTCTTCCAAGAGGACTTCATTCTAGGTTACAAGCCCCAGAAAGAACCAGAAGCAAACACACCAGCCTTTCCACCTGGGGGAGGTATAGCACTCTGTTAAACTCTGTGTCGGTCTGTTTATTCCTATTTTACAGCCCAGTTGTCATTAGATGACGATAATACTGCATTTTACTCTATCCAGATTACCAACCTCCTCCCTTCTCTGAGAAGTTTTTCCTGGTGGTGATCGAAAAGGATCTCAACAGGAACTCTGTTCTGCAGATGTGGCATCTACATCTTAAGTCTGTGCAGGCCTGTGTGGGTAAGTGTTTTGGTGCGTGAAGCAAAGCATTTATAGGTGAAAATGAAAAATAATGTGAAGTCTGCTTTTTTTAAATTTAGATTAACTTGTCTCTTCTGATGTGTTGCCTCTGTGTGCAGATGAGCCAAGCCCAGATTACAGCTTCCAGAGCCAGCTGATGGTTCCCAATCAAGTTGTGAATGCTGACTCATCTCCAGAGACGTCTCCTGTCAGACCCTTGCCACGGTCAACTTCAACAGCTAACTTGCAATCTGCTAGCAAACTGATCCTCAGCTCGAAGCTGGTTTACAGCAAACGCCTTGACCTTCCTCATGGGGTGGAGGTTACTAGGGCGACCCCATCTGCAGGTTGGAATATAAACTTATGAGTATAACCATGCTGTTGTTCCTGATGTGTAAAAACTAGTGCTGTCAGCGTTAATCTCGTTAAAATGACGTTAACGCCATAACCGCATTAACGCGGTAAATCTCCATTAGCGAGTTAGCGCGGGTCGCCCTATGCGTGGGGCTGCACAGCGCTAACGCATTAACGAGCTAACCTCGCTAACGCGTTGACGCCGTGCAGCTGACAGATTAACGCTGACAGCACTAGTAAAAACTCTTTCTTTTTTCTTTTTACACATAAATTAATGCATCATTTCACCTGTCCTTACTTACTGTAATAATTCAATGCCTGTCGACACAGTATATTCAATAGGTTGTGTGTCTTTATCATTCAGTTTTGAGGAAATTAGTTTCCTGGTGGGTTTAAATGAAAGAATATGCTAAAGAAAAATCTTCCTAAATTTCATTTTGTCTCCTCTTTCTACCAGGACATCTGAGTTCCTCCTCTATTTACCCCGTGTGCCTGGCTCCATACTTGATTGTTACAACCTGCTCTGATTCCCGAGTGCGGTTCTGGCACTGTGCTGTGGAGGGTGATGATGGGAATGGTATGGATGGCGAGGACAACCGGGTGTACCGCTGGGAGCCCTGGGCTCTGATGAATGAAGAGGAGGACAACAACAGTGCTGTGTGTATGTCAGGCCGGCCTGTAGCTGTGTCGTGTTCTTACATTGGCAGGCTGGCTGTGGCTTTCAAACAGCCACGACAAGGACAGGTAGGAAATTAGAATTTGGCTTTGTATTTGTATTGTGAATGTATTATACCACAAAAAAAACTAGCAGCATAGAAATTGTGTAAATTACCTTGAAGTGTAAGAAAAATGCAATAAAAATGTAAATTGGGCAAAGAAACATCATTTGGCTGGACCCTGGACTCTCCCATTAATGCATACTAATGCCCTGTGTCAGCATATTATTTTACTTTTATATAAAGTGGAGAATGATCAAGTTTTGCATTTGGGCTGCATCTACAAATGATAAGCATTAGTGAGAAGGGATTAAAAACTAGCTAGATGTCACTGAAGTGAAAATAAGTTCAGGTTTAACATCAGCAGTCTGGCTTATAAGCAAGTCCGTGTATTTAGTGTTAAGGTGCATGTAAAAAGTGTTAAGAGCCTTACTGTCTTACTGATTTGTCACAGCAGTCATGTTAAATCAAACGGTCTTCTGTTGTCCTCAGAGTCTAAGTTCCATAGAAGACTTCTCTATGCATGTGTCCATCTACGAGTGTGAGTCTACTGGTGGCTCAGAGTGGGTTTTAGAGCAAACTGTCCACCTGGATGATTTCGCCAGACCCTCTTCCACCCTGGATCCAAGAGTCAGTGTGGACTCAAATCTCTTTGTCTACAGCAGGTCAGGAACTATTACGTTTATCATATTCTGTCAGAGTAAGTGTTTTGCTTGTATGTCTGATAGGTTATTCATTTTCTTCACCTCAGGTCTGACTTGTACATGAGCAGAGACCATAGCTCACCCAACATTAAGCACTACGTGCACTTGGACTGGCTGTCAAAGGAGGATGGATCGCACATCCTCACTGTGGGAGTGGGCTCCAACATTCTTATGTATGGCCGTATCTCTGGTGTGGTCAATGAGCAGACGAGCAGCAAGGAGGGTGTGGCTGTTATCACCCTTCCTCTAGGGGGCAGTATCAAACAGGGGATCCGCTCACGCTGGATTTTGCTTCGGACCATTGACCTCCTGTCATCTGTGGATGGCACCCCATCGCTGCCGGTCTCCCTTTCCTGGGTAAGGGATGGCATCCTAGTGGTGGGCATGGACTGTGAAATGCATGTGTATGCACAGTGGCATCAGGACAAGAAGCCCGGTGAGGGAGAAGAAGGCAACCTTTCATCAGCAGACATAGCCGGAGGTCAAAGCACAGTGTCCTCCTCGATCTTTGAAGGGAGGGCCAGGTCAAAGAGTGTGTTTGAGGGGAGTACTGCAGTAGATGAGGCCCTTCGTGCCCCGGCAGGACTTCAAGAAGGAGGACTCTTTGAAGCAGCTCACTCGCTGTCCCCAACTCTTCCTCAGTACCATCCAACCCAGCTGCTGGAACTCATGGACCTGGGCAGAGTTCGGCGTGCCAAGGTGAGTCCATTTCTACCTCATTCAGTAGTGAAAACATCCAAGTGAAATCTAGTGAGTTTTTATTCAGTGTTTTTTACACGATTTGATGCGGATTAGCTGATTTTAATAAAGTCTTGGTCTTTTTTTGTGTGTGTCAGGCCATCCTCGCCCACCTGGTAAAATGTATTGCTGGAGAAGTCGCTGTGGTTAGGGATGTGGAGGCAGGTGAGGGCGGAGCCAGGAGACATCTGTCTCGGACAATCAGCGTTACTGGCAGCACAGCAAAAGACACCATAGTGTCGGGCCGTGACGGAGGCAGGGACTACACAGAGATCAACTCCATCCCTCCCTTGCCTCTGTACTCCCTCATGTTGGCTGATCTAGACACCTCTTATAAAGGACCTGAAGAGAATGCTAAGGGAACTAAAGGGACTGATGGTGAGGCAGCCCAAAAGTCCACAGAGGACCAGTATGCTGACCTCTTCCAGGTAGGAAGAGTTGAGACTTGAACAGATTTTGTTGTTAAAGGTTTACCTGCACGTAAGGACTTTAAACTCTTCTCTTCCTGCATTAACAGGTGCCAACAGTTACCACGGATGACTTTGTAAACTTTGCCACAGATAAACCAGAGAAAAAATCCCGAGTTATTAACCTCTCTCAATATGGGCCTACCTATTTTGGACCAGAACATGCTCAGGTAAAAATGAAATAAAAAATAGGCTTCCCTTTACATAAAAATATACTTATGGAGAAGTAATATTTGTTTATCAGTTCTCTGCTTCACTTGCTTTCTTCTCAATTGTGTCCAGGTGCTGTCCAGTCACCTCATGCACTCCAGCCTTCCAGGCCTGACCCGCCTAGAGCAGATGTTCTTGGTGGCCTTGGCTGATACTGTTGCAACCACAAGTGCTGAGGTCGCAAGCTCCACTGATCAACAGTACACAGGTCTGTCTAGTTTGTGTGTGTTCCAGTCGTACTTATGATATGTACAGGAGACTGTGTACAATATAATACATCTGACATTTGGCATAAACACTGTATTCCTTAAAAAGAAGTCATAACAGCATCCTTACTGATATTGCACTGCTGCAGTAAAGGTTGATTACATATTTTTAGCAAGCAGATTGGTTCTAAGTCTTGGTATTTAATTGAAACCTAGCAAATCGGTCCAATATTGCATTAAAGTTAAATAAATGTTTTTAACAAACAGGAAAGGAATACTTTTCTTGAGTCATTCGCCAGCTATCAAATCTTGGTGGTTAAACTGCTCCTTTCTCTTTTTCAGTATCTTTTGCCTTTTTTTACTTCGGTTTTTCGTTCTTTTTATTTAGTCTTTTGTGAGGAAGACATTAGCAGGTTGTTCCTGTGCTAAGTAAGCAGAGAAGAGGGTAAGAAGGTTCAAGGACTGGAGACCTATTGTGTGACAGGATCACATGAACTCAAGTGATACTTGAGTTTAAAGGTCTTTGCCCTCTTGTTGAGTGGTCTTTGGGGGGAAAACTGATCAACTGCTGGTATTTGTGTAGGTGGCGAGGCTCTTGATGAGTGTGGACTAAGGTACCTGCTCGCCATGCGTCTTCATACCTGCCTGCTCACCTCTCTGCCCCCACTCTACCGCATGCAGCTGCTCCACCAAGGTAAAGTACTCTGCTCATGGTGCTGCTGCTGTGAGACGAGTATACAAAACGTTTTGTGTGACAGTTATGGGGTATATTGCTCCTTTCACTATCCCTATTATTCACTATCCCGATCCAACTATCTGCTTCTATTGCAGGCCTCTCAACGTGTCACTTTGCATGGGCGTTCCACTCAGAGGCAGAGGAAGAGATGCTGAACATGATCCCAGCAATGCAGAGAGGCGACCCACAGTGGTCTGAGCTCCGGGCCGTGGGTGTGGGTTGGTGGATAAGAAACATCAACACTCTGAGGAAAATGGTGGAGAAGGTACCAGAATAAATATGCGTATTTATATACATAAAAATCAAAATGTAATGCTGATTACAATGCTGGTTGTTGTAAACCTGCTCAACATTTGGCAATAAACCCATTCTGATTCTGATTCTGATTATGGCAATATCTGCCTCAGTTTCTAGGTGAGTATATGAACTAGAAAAGGAAACTTACCATCCAGTTTACTCTGTAATGTAATTAATTTCCTACAGGAGTTTTCCATTTCTAGTAAATAGGAGCTAGGAACAGCTAGGAGTTACTGTAAAGACTTTATGAATCAAAGCAATTGGTAAATATTGATAACTCTTTAGAAATAACTAAATAACGACTATTGCTTGTTTATAATCAGTTGGGAAAAGCTGCATTCCAGAGGCAAAATGACCCTTTAGATGCTGCCCTGTTCTACTTGGCCATGAAGAAGAAAGCTGTCCTGTGGGGACTCTTCAGGTTGGACATTTTCTCTAAACACATAATTAATTTGAATAATTTTTCCAATGTTCAGAACAAGAGGTTTTAAGTGAATTTTCTTGCTAAAGCAGAATGGATACCAAACTCTGTGGCTTTGTTCTTTCAGGTCTCAGCATGACGAGAAGATGACTCAGTTCTTCAAAAACAACTTCAGTGAAGACCGCTGGCGAAAGGCAGCTCTCAAAAATGCTTTCTCCCTACTGGGAAAGCAGCGCTTTGAACAGTCGGCTGCCTTCTTCCTGTTGGCTGGTTCCCTCAAAGATGCCATAGAGGTTTGAGGACTTTTAATAGTGCACAGACAACTTACTGACGCTGTTTTTACTCCAGTAGCATATTTCAGCGTAACTTGCAGCAGCAATATCATAAAGTCGTCTCTCTTTAAGGTGATATTGGTACAGAAATATGTTGATGACAGAGTGGGTCTTCAGCCTTTAAATCACAAAAGAGAAGCCTAAATTATATAAATAATAAGATGCATAACAGTAGCACATAGTCTTTGTTGGCCTAGATTTTTCTCAACACACAGTCAAAATATACAGATGGGCAGAAAAGGAAGTGTGAGTTTCTGTTTGTACCTTGCAGAAATCTTTAACTTTTTGCACTTGGCTTGTTATTTCTTTAAAGAAAAAAACCTGCACCGTTAACTCATCACGCTGTTTCATGGTGTTTAGGTATTGCTGGAGAAGATGGAGGATCTCCAGTTAGCCATGATAGTAGCAAGGCTGTATGAGGCTGATTTTGAGAATTCATCCACCTGCCAAGGCCTCCTTTATGAGAAGGTCTTGGGCTGCAATAGGGACGGGAGTGGTTACCACTGTTCCAGGTTGCACCCCGATCCGTTCCTCCGCAGCATAGCCTACTGGATCATGAAAGACTACACGCGAGCCTTGGACACATTATTGGAGCGAATCCCAAAAGAGGACGATGAGAACCCTGGTTAGTTGGTTGAAGACATTTTAGTGATTTTTAAACAGCACGTTCCATTGTGCATTATTCATGTTGTTTTCACCTGAAATAAATATTTTCTCCCTTTTCTTTCCATTTTTGTGCATCAGATGTGATGGTTAAGGCTTGCAACCCTGTGGTGTTTAGCTTCTATAACTACTTAAGGACACACCCTTTGATCATTCGCCGCCACTTTGCAAATCCAGCGGGCACAGCAACAACAGTAGGCCTCACTGCTGAAAAGAGCAGCGCAGATGAGATCAACCTCATAGAGCGCAAACTGTTCTTCACTACGGCCAATGCACACTTCAAGGTGAGTCCATACTAATCTAGCTATTTACTCCAATCCAGTTCTCTTGATGGAGTTGGGAACTTGTACATTATATGTGTAAGTATAAATATGTAGTATAAAGTGAGGCAGTTACAATTGAAGTAAGGACAAGAGTAAAAGATTAGTGAAATCATCGCCTTCTGACACAACTAGCAAAGAACATTTTTAGCCTATAAATTCAAGTGCACTTTGTTGCTTGTGCCTGTAACTGATGATCAATTTTTAATGTCCAGACTGCTTCCTCTGAAATCGCAGGACTAGGGTAAACAGGATAGGGTGAAACCGTGATGTTCATGAGCTTCATAAATAAATCACAAACACAGCAAACAGCTTTACACAAGAATCAACTTCCACTATCAAAGGATGCAAAATTTGTTACACGCAGTTTACTGCAGTCGCATACAATTTTGCAGGGAAAGAGAAAGAATATTTTTGCCTTGTAGTTTAGCAGAAATGCAGTAATAAGTCATGATATTGTTGTTGGGCTCGATCACAGAACATTATTGTATTTTTGCTCCATGAAGATCTGCTGAATTTGCTCTCTTTCTACTCCTCTAAAGGGAAATGAAATGTAGCATTGTTATAACAGGAAAAAATAGACTGGAATAAAAACTATACTTGGAGGCTCTCAATTACATGTTGCATTAACCCAGCCAGGATGTCATTGAGTGTGAAATGAAGGAAATTAGATAAGCTGTAACTAAGAAACTAACATTTTTGCTTGACCCACCAGAGTTTGTGAATTTAGGATTCAGATTTAGGCCTTAGCTGTTGCTGTTTGATGTCATACCTTTTACATAATCATCATTGTAGACAAAAAAATCCACTTTGTTACAATAAGAAAGATAATTGTAATTTATCACTTCCATCCCCCTATGTATCATTCTGATAACTACAAAAGCATGCATGCCGAGATTATATAACAAAAGTTCATATACATATTATATAATCTCTGAATCTTGTAGGTGGGCTGCCCAGTTTTAGCTCTGGAAGTACTTTCCAAGATCCCCAAGGTTTGCAAGAAGTCTGGCTCATCGCCTCTCAGCAAGGCTTCATCCAAGGCCAATTTAAACACAAGCCAACCCTTGGAAAATGGCACTCAGGGAGGTTTGGACTGGGGCTTTCCAGCAGCACCGACACAGGCCTGGGGAGGAAATGATGGCACTGGTGGGTTGGACTGGAGCCAGCCTATGGTGAAGGTAGAGGAAGATGAGCTGAAGCTGGACTGGGGAGATGTCAAGGAAGATGATGAGGATGAGGACGATGGTGGTCTGACCATGAAGAAACCAGAGCTGGAAACCGAAGGAGAGGAAGGTTCAGGAAAAGGCAGCCAGAAACTGCAAAGAGAGGACTCACAGGTAGCAATAATATCTAGAATCTCCTTGAGTAATTGTGGAGATCTCAGATTTTATTTTATTGTGTTTTTTTCCTTTGGTTGCACAGTTAAAATACCAAAACAGGAAAAAAAAACAACTTCATTTTGATGTTGTATGAAGGCACATCCTTGTCTAGTTTCTTTACTGTCTTATCTGGCATATAGGAGACGACAGATACAAACCAAAATGTTACATTTAAAGGATTTTTATTTGGAGTTAACACATCAAAGAAGACCTGCCTGAACACTCAGCAGGGAGAGAATAATGTTTATTAGGATATGTAATTTAATCGTTATTATAATAAAAAACAATTGTGAGGGTTCGACTCTCATTCAGCTGTAGTGTTCTTGAATGAGAAAAGAAAAACATGGTTTTTTTTGGTGGGGTCTTCTCCAAAAGGTGGAAACTTGCAGCAAAGGTGTCAGAGAGTGTTTTTGGGCTTGATTTGCAAATTGGGTCGGCCCCAAATATAAAATTCAAGGCTACAAAGCACGGTCTTTGTCCTTTAAGTCACTCGCATGTATTTCAGGGCGAGTCGGAGGTCGACGTGATAGCAGAGCAGCTGAAGTTCCGTGCCTGTCTGAAGATCCTCATGACAGAGCTGCGTACATTGGCTACAGGCTTTGAGGTGGATGGAGGGAAGCTCCGCTTTCAGCTCTACAACTGGCTGGAGAAGGAGATAGCAGCCATGCATAAAATCTGCAACTACAAGGTCGACTTTAATATTATTTGATGTTGTTTTAGCCTATTTTAAAAACTGCTGAATGTTTCTATAAATGTTTTTCAGTTCTGGTTCATTGTAATTTATTTTATTTTATTTTTTTTTACCATAAACGTTATCAACTCAGGTGGAAGGAAAGGAGGAAGAGTCAGAGGTGGAGCGTTGGGGAGAACGCTCAACATCGGTGGACATATCAGATGACGTATTGGAGCGAACAGACGCCGGAGCCTATGAGCGTCATCAGATGGAGCGCCGCCGGCTTCAGGCCAAACAGCAGCACTCTGAGAGGCGCAAGGCATGGCTGAGGAAGAACCAGGCCCTGCTCAGAGTGTTTCTATCCTACTGCAGCCTTCATGGAGCCAAGGGAGGCGGAGTCACCTCTGTTCGCATGGAGCTTCTGTTCCTCCTGCAGGAGAGCCAGCAGGTATGCATGCACCTTTATACATATGTCATTATATATGTTTGTTTTTTATTAGTACAAAACAGTTTACAGAGAAGGCAAATTCACTTTTTGTCATACTCTGTAGGAGACCACAGTGAAGCAGCTGCAGTCCCCTTTGCCTCTGCCTACTACACTGCCCCTGTTATCTGCTTACATTGCCCCCACCAAGACAGTCATAGCCAACCCTGTTCTCCACCTCAGCAATCACATACACGACATCCTCTACACCATCACACTCATGGAGACCCCACCACATCCGGACATCATGGACGATCGGGTCAGTACTTTAAAAACAAATCTCTAACTTCATTTTAAGATGACTGAAAGTCTTACTGTCTGGTTGTTCAGTTTGGGGATGAATAATGAAAAGTGATGTTCATGTTTTTAGGTGAACGCTCTGCACACGCTAGCAGCATCTCTGTCTGCTTGCATCTATCAAGCACTCTGTGACAGTCACAGCTACAGGTAAACACGTGCATTGCAACAAATCCAGAAACCAAAACTGGCTTCACATTACCCTTGTGCTCAAAGTATGCGCTCATTGCTATTTAGTAGTTGAGAACTATTGTTTTTGATGCTGTGCTTGTGTAGCTTAGTCTGACTCCAGGTCTGTTCAGACATTTGTATCTTTGAGTTTCACACTATGAAAGAAGAATAAATATATTTAACAAAATGTTGAACATGCATGTTTTGGGCTGTTGTGACTTTATCGTTTAATGTTTTGGTTGCGTTGCAGCAGTCAAACAGAGGCCAACCAGTTTACAGGGATGGTTTACCAGGGCCTTTTGCTCAGTGAGAGGAAACGACTCCGCACAGAAAGCATTGAAGAGCATATTACTCCCACCTCTGCACCTGCACAGTGGCCAGGTAATAAGACCTCTTACTTTGCTACCCAGTGGTGTATTTGGGGAGTTGGTTTGATTCTGACTGAAGAGAGGATTTGGATTAGAATATAATAACACATTTGCTCTAATTTGTAGTTATAAAAAATGAAACTGAAGTCATATTTGAGGATCCTCACAGATGCATAGGATGGGGAAAATGGCTTTCTGTGTAAACATCAAGGACAGTATTTTGTGAAAATGTGAAGAGCAGGACGAGAGAGAGCAGAGCAAAGCAGGCAGTCTGTGTTTATGCAGAGAGGCAGATGGTGTTCTATAATAGGAGCTCAGTGGCCTCTGGGAAGGAAATGGAAAGAAAGAGACTGATCACGCCATCCTGAAAAGGTTTCATAAATGGGTTCTCGATGATGCTGAGATGGTGTTTTTGTTTGCCTGTGGAAGTTATTTGTGTAAATTAGGGGGTAATCTGTTGCACGTTTATCACGTTGGATGTGCTTCCCCTCTATGCAGGTGTGTCGTCCCTGATTTCATTGTTGACATCTGCGAGGGACGAGGACCAGCCAAAGCTCAGTGTGCTCCTGTGTGAAGCTGTTGTGGCAGTTTATCTTTCCCTGCTAATCCATGGCCTGGGCACTCACAGCAGCAATGAACTCTTCCGCCTGGCAGCACATCCCCTCAATAACCGGGTGTGGGCCGCAGTCTTCGGAGGAGGGGCCAAAGTCGTCATTAAGCCAAAGAGGCCTGAGGCTCCACCAGGTAAAAGGACAATTTGGTAGTTGGCGATCTAAAACCTTTATCTTTACCATGTCAACATTGTTCATGGTTGTAATTATTTGCCTTTATCCCTTGATTCAGCACATGAAGTTGACCTTTTTCCTCCCACGTCTGTTTTCCCTTTAACATCTCTGATCACTTCCACTTTTGGTATTATCGCATAGATATTTACTTAGCACTGTCCTGTTGATGCTCCTAACATGCTGCTGCTACTCGTGTGTAGCGTCTTGTGTGAGTGTGCCCTCTGCCCTGTGTCCCAGCACCAGCTGATTTTGAGGCAGCCAGGCCAGAGGAGTCTCAAGAGACAGGAAGACCAGAGCAGAGCAACTTCACCTCAAACCCCACTGTCACCCCTACTGAAACCCAGCGCCCTAAACGTCCCCCTCCTCCTGTTTTAAGGGACGAGGGGGTGGGCACTGTGGTATCTGCAGCTAACACCAGCTGTGAGTAACTGGGCTGGTGGATTGCAGTGCTGGTTTGCAGAATTGCAGTGCATGGTAATTGTAAAGGTTTGCATTGTTGCAGCTGCTTGAATGACCCACCACTCTATCGTGAAGCTACTGCTGAATGAGCATTACAAACAAAACAAAAAAAAATCCATTACTGTTATGACAAGCCAACAGCTGTGTGTGTGTGTTTGTGTGTGTGTATACTGCATTGCATGTACATGTTGTAACGTCCTCTGTGCTCATTTTGTGTCACTGAAGCACCAGCTGGGCCTAGCAACGAGTATTCAGAGGCCAATGCTGAGCAGCCCACTATATGTGAATCTGAGACTAAACCAGGTACACTTTCAGAGGCTTCCTGTAGCGTTCAGGCTAAATATCTACTTGTGTGTTGTCCAGATTTTAGAATGAAATACAACCACAATTCAAGAAAACCACTACGGTGCTGTGTTAAATCTAAACAAAAACAGAATGTAATAATTTACACATTTCTTAAACCTATATTTTATTTACAATAAAACACAAAAACCCTACCAGATGTTTAAATTGAGATATTTTACTCTTTCATGAAAAATATTTGCTCACTTTGAATTTGATGACAGCAACAAATACCAAAAGTTGAAACAGGGTGACAAAAGGCCTGAAAAGTAACATTTTGCAATTAATCAGGTTCATTTACAACATGTCACTAACATGATTGCTTTGTAAAAAAAAAAAAAAGAGCATCTCCAAGAGCTGAAGATCATCGGTCCTCTTCAGTGTAAAACTTTTAAAATCTCATCATCTACTGTCCATAAATTCAAGAAAATTCATATATTCAAGGAACCTGGAGAAATCTTCCCTGTGCACAAAGGACAAGGCCGTTGCCAGAGAATGCAACACCATTGTCTTCTCTGGATCAAACTTAATTTCAAATGGACTCAGACAAACTAGAAAAACTGATCTGTGGTCAGATGAAATTCTTTTTTTTGTTAAAACATGGACGCACCATCCTCCAGACTAAAGAGGAGAGCGCTCCGTTCAGAAATGATATGGAACTGTATTAGTACCTATGGAACTAGCAGCTTGCACATCTGGAATTACACCATCAGTGCTGACTGGTATGTACAGGTTTTAGAGGAACATGTGCTCCCATTCAGATTAGTTTTTCAGGGAAAGCTTTGCAGATTTCAGCAGCTGCATTCCCATATCAGATAAGAATGGGACAGCATTCCTCTCCCAAAAGTCCAGCAGCTGCTCTGCTCAGACAGTCCTGACTGTACAGATTAAAATAAGGTTGGATCCTGCACAGTGGGTAAACATGGCCCTGCCCCAACTGTTTTGAGACATGTTGCTGCTATCAAATTGGGAACGAGTTAATATCCTTCTTAAAATGGTACTTAATCTCCCTTCAAATGTTTGATATGGTTTCTATGATCTACTGTGATGAAAACAGATTAGCAAAAATTGCATTTTGTTTTTAATTTGCATTTTACACGGCATCCCAACTCTCTTGAAACTGGGATTGTATTTTGAAGTAATGCAAATGGAGTTGGTGTACGTAAGTAATTTGCAGTTGAGTTAGTTACTGCATTATAGATTTATACTAGCGCTTGTGTGACATGATTCAGGTGTTTGTCTGTTTATTTCAAAAACTAAGCCATTCCCAAAGTGCTCACAGCTCTACTGTGTCACTGTTGGCTGAAATTGACACTGTTCATCCATATTCATCAGGCCAGAGTATACCGTGCTCACATTGTGTTTGTGAGGGAGGAAGATGGGGGCTGGCATTTAGACTCCACATCTCTAGAGCTTGAGGCAGCTCTGAGCAAGGCCAGGGGCCTTTTGAAGAGCTCCTTTAGAGGACAGGCCATCTTAAATGCCAGCCTGTTGATAAAAATCACTTGTTAAAATTGTCCTTTTGAGGGCCGCGGCAAACCTGCATGCATGCCACAGTCACACAGCTTTAGAGAAAAGGTACATGCTGATGCCCAACTGTCATGTTCTAATTAACTCATTTTAACCTTAACATACTGTAGTTGCCAGTCTCATCCTGTTTGCCTATTAAGTGCTGTGGATATGAGGAAATGCTTAGCACATGATCGCTGAAGAAATTTGCCATCGTTTGATGTGTTCTTTGTGCCCACACATGAAATATTCACTGATTCTATTATGTAATGGACTGTGCAGTATCTGTGTGTCTAACTGCACTGTCTACTCTGGTTTGTGTCTTGTCTTGTTTTGTCTGGTGCGATACCAGAGATGGTCATCCTGGATAATGGTGCAGGTTTGTGTACTAGCGAGTGTTTCTTGCCCTGTGCTTACATCCCAAACGTGTGCTTTTTGTGCCTTTTTGTATTTCTCCTTTCCAAAAGTGTATGACGTGTCATTTGTGACTGAAGTTAGGTGCAGACAGGAGCCTCCTTTCTCAGGTATTATGTGTTTTATGTAGGATGTGGATGCAGTACTTTTCCTCCGGATCTATTTCTTTCTTCTTTTTTGGATTTAAAGTGATGCTGAGTTTCAGCTGATCTTCAGCCTTTGTATAAAATGCAGCACACTGCAGACCTCTTTTCAAATTGTCTTGTGTTTGAAATATACCATTTCTTCATTCTTCTTCTGCTACAGTGGCTCCCCCTCAGCCCCCAGCAGAGGATGTGGACCGATACAGACGCAGATTCAACATGAGGATGCTGGTTCCTGGACGCCCTGTAAAGGAGACACCTGCCACGCCACCTCCTGTTCCCGTTGAAAGACCCACCTACAGGGAGAAGTTCATTCCCCCAGAGCTGAGCATGTGGGACTATTTTGTGGCCAAAGTAAGAGAGTAAAGCTGTCAAACTGAATCTTTGCTTCAGATTTAAGGTTTAAAAAAACAAAACAAAACAATATACATATTTAAGCCTTTCATTTACTCTTTGCTGATCATTTCCCCTCTCAGCCTTTCCTGCCGCTGTCAGACAGCAACGCCCTGTATGACTCAGACGAAAGCGGTGCCGAGGATGACGAAGATGATGATGACGCCTTCCTATCTGACACACAGATGACTGAGCACTCTGACCCCAACTCTTACAGGTACAGCCAGCCATGCTTCTTTCTCTTTATTTCCTCTGAGACTCATTGAGGTTCATATTTTAATTATTTGTGTGTTTGTGGGTTATGTAGCTGGTTTCTGATCCGCCTGGTCATGGTGAAACTGGCTTATCACAATGTCAAGAACTTCATTCCTCTCACTGGCCTGGACTTTACAGGTACATGCTCGCCAAAAGACCGATCCTAAACGCCTCTCTAAACGTAAGCGATGCATTCTTTATGAAGGTGCATGGAAATATTTTAGGACATTTCAACAATAATTTGTTAATCATATGGAATCCACAGATAAACGCTTCATAGCTTTTTGCTTCTGAATATCAAATTTGTATATGTGTTTGTGTCACAGAGCTGCCAGTCACGTCCCCTCTGAGCAATGCTGCCTTGAAGACTTTGGAGACCTGGGAGCAGCTTCTGTTGGAGCGAATGAATACGTTTGATGGCCCACCTCCCAACTACATCAACACTTACCCTACTGACCTCAGCACAGGAGGTGGCCCTGCAATACTGCGACATAAGGCCATGCTGGAGCCTGACAACACACCCTTCAAGTGAGTATTACATCATCTATATGTAATTTTTGTCTTTGTACTTACATCAGATAAATAGATAAGGCCTCAGTAGCACAGATGTAGACACCAGTTAGTGACCAAAGGTTGCTGGGGGGGAAAAAACAGTATTCTCTCCGAACAACTCGCTAACTGCTCACAAGTGGTAGTGAAATAAGTGTAAATCGACTGGAAATGAAAAACAAGTTCCACCCTTAGAAACATATTGGTTTCAGCCAGAAGGCATAACTTGAATTTTGAAAATGGCTGTTCTTTCTTTCCAGATTCACATCACATTTCTTCAAGCTTTCATGTTTTTTCAGGCTTTACTTGCTAAAGATTGCTGGCAAGTGTTTGCAGACAAGACAGTTTTCTTCCATGCAGACTACAGGAATTTGTGTTACTCTATTAGTTTTTTTGCTTCTGATTTTTCAATGTGACAGTCACAAACAGCCTGTTTGTGATCACCTTGTTTTCATCCACTTTTTTTTTCTTTAGGACAAGGAACCACCAGTCCTTTCCAGCCCGACGTCTGTGGCATTTCCTGGTCAAACAGGAAGTTCTTCAGGAGACATTAATCCGTTACATCTTCACAAAGAAAAGGAAGCAGAGCGAGGTCGGCACATGGCATTTAATTTTTGTTTTTTCCTTAGATGAAGTTTATAATTTCTTTTATGAATTTTAAGTACTTGAACATCACATTAGTCAGCAACTATATTATGTTGGTTTTTTCTTTTATTCTTTTTTTTCCTCCTCATCTTAGTGTAACACATGATTGTCATAGAAAATTTCTGAAGTGGATTTGCTGACATTAGCCCAGGTTAACCACACGTAAAGACACGACGCCTATAAACAGAGATTTATGATCCTTGTAGGCATCAAACAACTAGCCCTACCAAAGTGAAGTATCCGAACAGTTTTTACAAAAATAACATATTTTATATGCCTTTTAATTTAACTTTAGTTCTTAGTGTGCCGCATGTCCACAGTAGGTTTTCCCTTAAAAATGGAAAACGGTATCCAGATGCTCGGTTGTCCAGATATTTTTTATTTTTTTCCCAGATCTTTTCTTTGGAATATTTTTGCAGTCTATTAGTTGGAAATGGCAATTTGGTAATTTTTTTTAGTCATGTATCTAAATTCATCCCTTGATTTTTTTTTTTTTTTTTTTTAAAGCACCGAGTGAGCATTTTTATCACTATTAATATTTTTCTTATCTTTGCTTTGACTCCTTTAACATATAATCAAGTATAAGATGGTTCACTGCCTTCTGTGATGTCTGAATCAGTCACTTTTATGACAGACTGCCAATGCAGCTCGAACTTAAAAAAAAAAACCTCCTATAGATTCTTGTCCTCATGCCTAGTTAATAATTAAAACCTTTTTCGCTAACTGGAATAACATCATGTCAAATTCAGCTGTAATAGTAAGATGTCTCCATACCTGCTGCAACATGTCTGACTTACTCCCATTTTATCACCAAGTATACAATATCCTGTCAGCTTTGTTAATTTTTTTCATTTTCATTTCATGATTTATTTTTCTGTTTGTGCATGTGTGTTGTGTCGTGCTGTGTTGGTGTGTCCTGTGTCTATATTGCCTCTGTGTGTGTGTAGTCTGTAGAGAACCATACGGACCGTATAAGCCCACACTGCAAAGCAGGAGCTAGCAGTTCCTATAAGGTAGTATCATTTACTGTACCAGCCCAGGCCCTGGCTCTGTCTGAGCATCTGTCTATCTTTTCTGTCTGGGAGAGTCATTGCGAAGCCAAGCTTGAAGGAGCAAGTGCATTAAACACTAAAAGAAATCTTGCACCAGTTGCACAGGGTTTGGTTTGCAGTTTGTTTTGAGATCCCGCCATGCTGGGGTAAAGCACTGCATGTCTCCTCTCTAGCTTGGCCTGATAGTGACTGCTCTGGTAATTTTTTGGCATAAAATCTACTCGAAGCTCTATGGCTTAGATCTAATGTCTAATCTCTTCCTCTCACTGGGACACTTATCCACTCACATAACCTCATATCCAAACCTATCAATAACTCATCTCCCTGTGTAGCTCACATCCTTTCTAGCTGGACTGATTCTGCAGGACTCAAAATCACATAAATGAGATGGCACACACTTTAAACCTACTAACTTGCATGCTCACTGTCAGGGTGTGGTGGCGAGGCTTTCTAACTGGAGGGTGTCAGCCCAGAAGCTCAGTAGTCATACTTGTCAATATTTTCTGTTTTCTATCCTACTAGAGGGAAATTAAAGTCTATTTATTTTTTAAAAAATCTCCTTCATACCATTAATCTGACCCAGGAGAACCTTATTTTAGTGTTTCTCTCTTCAGCTTTGATGTTTTCCTTTTCTTTTTGCCTTTTCCAGGTGGAGGCTGATTTGGGCTACCCTGGAGGAAAAGCTAAAATCATCCACAAGGAGTCTGATATAATCATGGCATTTGCCATAAATAAGGTCAGTTGTGGGTGTTAACTTGTGTAAAATACTGGGGAAAACTTGTGGTTCATAATTTCCTTTGATTCTGAGGACACTGTACATGGAGACAGGATTATTAGATAGATTTATATTGAATGAAGGTTTCTAGAAATCTTTTTTAAGTAGCAAATACATGGCAGTTACTTTCTGGGAATTCAGAGAAGCTAGTGATATGTGTTGTCTCGCCTTATCCACCGTGCTTCCTTACTTTCCTAGGCTAACTCTAATGAAATAGTGTTGGCTTCCACCCATGATGTCCAAGAGGTTGATGTGTCCAGTCTAGTAGCTGTCCAGCCCTACACGTGGATTGGGGAGGACTTTGATAAGGAGTCTCGCAGGTCAGACTAGCAGCAGATCATATGATTTCCTTCAAATCTCACCGAGCCTGGACTGCACACTCCCTGTCTCCTCTCCGATTAAATGATAGCTTGTGTTTTTTTGTTTGTTTGTTTTACAGCTCTGATGATGTAGATCATCGTTCTTCGCACACCAATATTGCCCAGGCTAGCTCCGTCCCCTTTGCACCACCGCAGATGCCAGTCTCTGCATCCATGCCGTGGCTCGGTAGTGGTCAGACCAGTATGGGAGCCAGTGTGGTACGCGATTCTTCACTGCAAATCTACACAGCTGTGCAACCTGAATCCAGCAAAACCAGGCAGCAGTACATATGCAGTATTTAGCGATAACCAGTAGGGGGTGATTAAGTTCTGTTTCAGGGCTCATAGAAAGGGTGGCATGACTCTGCAGTCGTTTCATTTCATAATATTCATTAGTAAAGATTTAGATGTATTTTTACAAAATGAAAACGCTTCATTTAAAACTTCTGCTTCTGGAAAAAAATCAATTTAATTTGGGGATTTTATTCAGCAGTCTGCCGGGCTTGCACGTTTTCAGGCAAAGTTTGTTTTTTATTGTTATCTCTGCTGAACCACGCCGACTAAACAGCTGGCCTGCTGAGTCTGTAGATGCAGATACAGACTGGGGGTGTGTCTGCATGGCAGTGATGGCCAAATATAAACACAGATATCAGAAGCCCTTTCAGACGGCTAGCCAAGGTACAGATTTGCGTCAGACTAACACGCAGATAGGTTCTCAGTGTCCCAGCCACGGTGATAAATGTTTAGTGTGATACACAAAGGAGGACAAGACCGAGGGTGTCATAGAGGTTCAAACGACTGTGGAAGGGGTTTTGTTAAATGTGAAGGTTGAGGAGGGCTCTCTTAACATATTCAATTATCATATTCTGATGTGCAGCAAAATTAGTTGCACTTGTATTTCATGTAAATTAGTTTGCTGTTTCATCTGTCTAAAAGCTACTATCTGTCCAGTTTTAGAATTAGTCTTTACAGCAGTGGTCAGAAAAAAAGTTTTTTCATGACCAAAATGTGAAATTACATGCATGTAAAATACTTTAAAGATATTGTTGATGCTGAAGAAGTCATGAAAGTGCAGGAATGAGTTTAAACTAAAAGAGCTGGAATATTGAGGCGATCTGCAGAAATTTGCTTGATGTTTGAAGTGATGTGTAATTTACCATAGTCACGTATAAGTCTGAACGAGTGCACACCTGAACGAGTGTCATGTGTGTCTGAGAAGAAGATTCGATAAAAGTGATTTAAACTCTTGCGCACATAGACGGTGCCTCAGTCAGCCCATCATCCAATCACGTTACTGCTTAGGTTAGCCCAAGGCTCCACTTAAAAATGCCTAAAGACTGCTTGATGACCACTGATGATCGGCGCTGCACTGAATAGCTGTTTGCGATTGCTTTGGCTGGTAGCAGATTGATATGGTCGCCTTTGATTAATGTGTAAACCAATTTGTCTGCAAAAACTTGCTAAATGCACGCTAAGTGGTAGTGACACTGTGAAGAGTGGAACCCAAACGGGCAACAGTTATTGCTCAGGGGGTCGTCAACCACTCACTAGGCTGATCTTCAGGCCTGACGTTTTCAGATAGTTAACTTAATTGTTTGCCCAATTAATTTAAGCTAATTACAAGATAAATGTATGTTTATATTGATGTCTTTCAGATTATGAAGAGGAATCTAAACAATGTGAAGAGAATGACATCCCATCCCATATATCAGTACTGTGAGTGCTACTTTGAGAGGATTCACCAGTATACATGTTTAACACGTATAAGTAAATTATATAGCTTCTCCTGCTTTGTATTCCTGTTCTTTCCCCAACATCTCTCTCCCTTTCTTTTCCTGGTTTGTGTGTGTGTGGGGCTGTGTATCAGACATGACTGGGGCTCAGGATGGTAGCGTGAGGATGTTTGAATGGAACAGACCTCAGCAACTCATTTGCTTCAGACAAGCAGGCAACGCTCGAGTCACCCGTCTCTATTTCAACTCCCAGGGCAACAAGGTACACACACAAAGTAGCAACTGTGTTTTGTGTGTACGGTGCCATTGTTCTGATTCCTCTGAAACATTCTTGTAGTGTGGAGTCGCTGATGGAGAGGGCTTCCTCAGTCTCTGGCAGGTTAACCAGACATCGTCCAACCCTAAACCGTACCTGGTAAGGTTCCCTCCCACCTCCTTATTCACAGTCGCAGCACACACACAATATGAGTGGTCTGTATAATTCAAATGAAAATGTGCTTTTATTTTCCTGTTCTTGCTCTCAGAGTTGGCAATGCCACACTAAGACCTGCGGGGATTTTGCTTTCATCACATCCTCCAGTCTCATCGCCACGGCCGGACAGTCCAATGATAACAGGTCAGATTTGGACGACTAATCAAACACTGCTCTTTCTTTTTGTTTATTTTTTCCAGCTGCATAATATTTTGCTTTATGTTATTTATAGAAATGTTTGCCTGTGGGACACTCTGATTTCACCTAACAATACTATGGTGCATGGTGAGAAATCCATATTTATTCTAATAAGTGAGTTTCAGTGATTTTCTTTTTCCCTATATTTCAAGTTTATCCACTTTTACTTCCTACCTCCCCCTTCAGCTTTTCCCTGCCATGAGAACGGGGCCACTGTGCTTCAGTATGCTCCTAAACAGCAGCTGCTGATTACTGGAGGCAGAAAAGGCTTTGTGTGCGTGTTTGACATCCGACAGCGGCAGCTGCTCCACACTTTCCAGGCCCATGATTCAGCCATCAAGGCCCTCGCATTGGATGCCTTTGAGGACTTCTTCGTCACTGGCTCTGCAGAGGGCAACATGAAGGTGACGCATGCTCTTTCTCTCACTCACTTCCTTGCTGATACACGCTCACATTGTGAGCTGAGGAATAATATCCTTTTGTGTCAGTGAATGTTATTAAACATAAGCACTGTATAAAGCATTCAGCATCAAAACTACTGAGAATTATTTTATATTCATTCCAAGTTTGTTTTTTTTAATCCATAAACTGGAGGAGTATTTGGTGCAGCTCTCTAGCCTTCAACACTTTTGTCCCTGGATTTAAGATTCCAGGTCTAGTTTTTCAGGCTTTGCTGTTGTGGTTTGTTTATTAAGTATTCCAGTATAAGGTGATGAGATCAAAGACTTAAAACACAGAGGTGATACGGTCTAAAGGTCAACACTGCACTGCCGGGATGACTGCGTTCTTGTTTTAGATGTTATAAGCAGGAACAAGAAAATGTTAAAGGCAAAAGATTTAGAGAAGTGAGTCTTTCATGCTGCTTTTAATCAACTCAGATTCTTTTATCTTTTAATGTAAACTCAGACTGATTTGATGATAAAGCCTCTGTGGGTGCCATACTGTCTGCTGCAGGAAGCCTTGTTCTTCTTGTCACTAAAAATAGTTTGTTATGACTTTGGCTGAACTAACTAAAACACAGACTACTGTATGTTATATATTCAAATCTGACTTCGGATTTATCAGTGACAGTCAAAGCAGCAGTGTGTTAATGTTTGGCACAATCACATGGAGTACTGGTTGAAATTACTGTCCTGAAATATTTGAGAATTATTTTTATTACTGATAAATGTGTTCTCTGTATTCTGACTTAGTTGATTGGCTAATAAAAATTGCTGTGATCACCTGTAGTTTTCATGGAAGACACCAACTTGTCTGGAAATACTCGCCATTTACTCTACATGTTGTGAAATGTAAAAACATTTAAGGAAACCAGAAATTAAGGCTGCTCACCTTCAAAGTAAAATTTGTGCCTGATCGCTGTAACTGACACATTTGAAAGGGTGCAGACTGTGTCTGTTTTCTGTTTTTTGTTTGCATCAGACTTTCAATCATTTCACTTCTGCTTGGCGAGTGTTTACAGACAAGTCAAGGTATGCAAACTACCGGCAACTGCGTCAACCTGCTAGAAACAAAAGCAAACACATTAGCATTAGATTAGCACTCTATACCCATGTCCAACCTCTTTCTCTTTTCCTGCTACTGCCATCAACCTCCAGCAACCACCTTTTTGGGGGGGTTGTCTGGATCCTTAAAGCACATTTGTCTCTTTGTAGAAACAACATGGAAAAATGCTAATTGATCACAAATGCCAAACAAGTGGTGTCCCCAGCCAAATAGTTTTTAATTTCTCCAGTTTCATTATTTAAAAAATGATCTGTTTGGGTTTTTTGTTTTTTTTTGTTTTTTTCCATCCAGAAAACCCTGGGAAGAGAAACTAATTATATACTCTGTTCTCGCTCTCTCTTCCTTTGTACCCAGGTGTGGAAGCTAGCCGGCCACGGGCTCATGCACTCTTTTAGCATAGAGCACGCCAAGCAGTCCATCTTCCGGAACATCGGCGCAGGTGTCATGCAGGTGGAGACGCGACCCGGAAACCGAATCTTCACCTGCGGAGCAGACGGCACCCTAAAGATGAGGGTCCTCCCAGACCGCTACAATATCCCCAGCAGCTTGGTTGACGCCCTGTAATGCTTTTTGTAATTCTGAGGGTCCTAAGAGGAAAGGGTCAGAAAGTGGAGGAAAAAAACCGAAATGCTTCTATAACACTCTGTAGGCATTAATAGAAACGCTGCTGGGGGAAGAGTTAGTCAAAAGATTACCACGCTGTTGGCAACTTTCAGCATGAACGGTGTTCATGAGTTTACTGTTGGCCATATCCAGAAGATTTAAAAACGGAGCTGCAAACATTTTATTTTCCCAAAGGCTGAAAACAAAGTTACAAGCAAATGGTATCATACTTGATTTTAAAGCTAGTTTTATTGTAATTTTATCGAAGAATCTCTACTCTTAGAGTGTGTCCATAGGGAAGCTATGCATGTCCTGTTCTCGTTATGCGGTGCAATCACAGGTCTATTGATAGTGCTCTGTAAAAGTGCTCAAGCAAAAATTTTAAAAGTGTGTAACTGTTGTCATTTTGTGCCCACAGCTGAAATCTCTTAGCATCTACTGTAACCAGCACCGTGGTTTGTTATTAAGTCAGTGGTTTCCAGTGTGAATCGAGTTGTTGGAATCTGCATTTTGTTTCGATGGTTTTTGCCCCCCACCCTCCTGCCTTTTATTTGCCCAGCTTTCTCAGCTCCGTGGAAGAGTTGATGGTGCATTTGGTCCTGATAATGACACCTGTCTGTATCCCCCCCCCCCTTCTCTTTTTCCACTGGCTGCCCATCACTCACTTGGCCTATAATGGTTTGGGTTCAGCCCGCTCCAGTTTGGCCCTCTGCGTGCGTGTTCACTCTGCTGTGTCTGCCATCTGTACGTCTGTGCGCCCACCTGCCCTCAAATGCCTGTTTGTGCGGCAGACTCACTGCTAGAACATTCCTGTTTGGAAGACGGTGTGTTTTACTCCTGTGACTGTGATTTCAGTGTTTCCATCTGTCTGGTACAACGCTAAAGATCCACCCACCCACTCACCCCAGAGCAGAAACACAAAGGTTCACTTCTGGTTTTATCACAAAGATTTTATTTGTTGTTTTTTTTTAATTGAGTTGATTTTCTTATTTAAGTTATTTATGTTTGTGTTCATTTGGTTGACCATTCCTTTCTAAAACTATTTATCTTATTGCCTTTTATTTTAGGAATGTAAGGGGTTTTACTGTAATCTGACTGGGAGATGTGCAACAGTCTACTGTAAGTGTGTTTACCTCACTAGTTGTTTTTACTGTTTCATCCATAAGGAATAGATATTTGCACTCAAATTCTGGAGACACTAAAAGTTTATTTCAAATAAATAGGTTATTAAAGAGGAAACGATTATATACAAATGAATGTCTGGCTTTATTTGGCCTACTAGTACAACATTTGAAATAGTTTTATTATATAAATTTTATATATATATATATATATATATATATATATATATATATATATATATATATATATATATATATATATATATATATATATATATATATATCACAACAACCTTGTACAAACATGAAGGCATTTCTTTATTTTTGGTTTGTATCATACCAGTTGGATTAGTTGTAACTTTTGTTAAGTGTATGTATGGTATTTATTAAAGAGATTTGTGTTTCTCTCCCTCTCTTTCTGCCCTCTGTGTGTACTGTATGCATCTTAAGTGTTTCCCCAATGGTCCCACTGGTGTCGTGTGTGTGTGCGCGTTCGTGTGCGTACGTGCACATCAAACAGTCGAAAAGAAGCCATTATTATGAGTAGAGGCCTATTAGGGTACTTGAGCCTGAAGGTGTGTAAGAGAACAGGTCATGGTCAGTTTTACCTTTTGTAAAGTGAATAAATTCTTTTTATTTCATCAGGATGATTTGGCGCTTTTTTTTTTCTTCTTTTTTTTAATTTTTATTTTTATTATCCTTTGCAGCCAGACAGCTGTGCTGCTTCCTTACAAAGGCAGGTTTGTCTATATGTACAAAAAGAGGGGGAAGGGACATCACGAGTTACATCTGTATAAAAATCAAGCAGTGGTGACCCACCATGCAAAAACGCAAATGGCAACAAAAGTTGAGTTATAGGTTTGATTGGCATAAACTGCCAGCTTATACAAAATGATAAGTTTTCACACTATTAGTAAATCTTGTGTCCTTTGAAAACTCCATGTACAGTAAATACAGCACTTCCTTCATCCATCCATTCATACATTTTCTTCCGCGAAAGGATGGATACACCCTGGACAGGTCAGCAGTCGCTGCAGGGCTAACAGATAGTCAGACAAACATTCACACCTATGGGCAATTTATAATTGCCAGTTGAGCTCACCCCACTAACTGGATGTCTTTGGACTGTGGGAGGAAGCTGGACTACACGGGGGAAACATGCAAATTCCATACAGAAAGGCCCTGGCCAGGTGGCGGATTCAAACCCAGGACCTTCTAGCTGTGAGGCAACAGCGCAAACGTCTTGTTAACCAAAACCATATTTACTTTAGTGAAATAGTTTGACGGTCAATTACAATTTCACTTAACACAAAAGTAACACGGGACAATATATTTAAAACAGCGACACACACAGTGTATGTCACTCTTGTGTTATCAGTTTTCAGATGCAGTGAATAGATGAAAGTCTGCAGGCGTTTTGCTCTCAGTATTTACTGTAACGGTCGTGTTCGGACATCATGTTTCTCACTCATCAGAGATGAAGTGGACCACATACAGCCTGACGTAGCTGTGGTCCCAAACATACAGGTGTCTGTCCTTTGGGCTGTAGGAGAGCATTGCCAGCACTTCACCAGCAGACCTCAGGTCAAAGGTCACATTGACCGGCTTTCCCTTCAGCAGGTCAAACGCAAAGGTGACTCTGGTGTCTTTGGTGTCGGTGACATACAGGACGCCACAGGCGATGAAGGCGTTGCCGGCTTTGATGCGAGGATAGGTGGTGTTCACGTAGGATGTGACGGAGAAGGTCTTCTGGTCCAGCTGGGCCACCATGATGCTCTCGTCAACATTGGATGCAAAGATCAGCCACAGGCCGTTCTCATCTGCTGCCAGCTTGAAGTAGGTCTTAGAGTTGGGGAGCAGGTAGGCGAGGTTGTTGTACAAAGAGTTTTCAATAGTGAGAGTCTGAAGTCTTTTGGTGCTGAAGTCAAATCTGTGAACACACAAGCAGGAAGCTGCTAAATGAAGGATGTGGAAGTCATAAAAAATCACCTTGATGTGCATCGAGTGGCTTTAAGGCTTACTTGGCAATGCTGGGAGTGCCAGCAGCATGATAATAAAAGAAGCCATTGTGAACGATGTGGCCGCAGCCTTGATAGTACTTTATAACGTCTATGGTGTCGCTGCTGTTCTTCTGGAAAAAGGAAATGCTTTTGTACTCCTTCAGCATGCGACCTGGGGAAGAACAAGCAAAATCTTTACTGCTAAAAGACGTGGAGATTATAAAAGTGGGGACAGGAGCACATGCGCGACACTCTGTAACCAGCCTACCAGAAAAGTGATCCGCCACCCATATTCGCTCATCGTTCAGCTGAGCGGTGTCCTTCATCCATGTGCCAAATGTGGTTTTCATCTTTGTCACATTTCTGGGGTTGATCAGAGACTTAATCAGGCAGTCTGTGGGGAAAAACAAAAAATCTCAGGGGATTTACTCACAGGTCACATGACTGCACATGAACACAACCTCCTCTGGAAACGTACCGTTCCTTTTGGCAGTCTTCTCGTGTAGTTTTTCTGTCTCCTTTACAGGTGAGGTTTCATCATTTGGAATGGCATGTAGCCCTGTTAGAAGCAGTTTCATCCTGTTTTAGTCATGTCATTGATGGACTAGTTTGTCAGAAGGTTTCAATTAGACACTTTATGGGGAGGGGGGGGTGTCTTTGAATTTAAAAAGAGAGAGAGAATTTGAACCTTCTTCCCGAGAGCTTTGATTGCATTGAAAATTATTTTGTCAACAACTGTTTTTAGGAACACAAATGTCACCTGCAAACTATGACTGATCTCTCACCCTGATTATGAGAAGCTTGGAGGTGAGCTCTGCGGTGCCCTGTTCTGGGAGGCCCCTGAGGCCCCGGCGGGCCAGGAGGACCCATAGGCCCAGGTGGTCCTGGAGGCCCAGGTGGACCTGCTCAAATGGAGAGAATGTCTAAATGTTATCCATTTAAATTTATTTTTATTTCAGGTCATCTGCAAAATGGTTCAAGTCAATAAAGTTCTACTCACCCTCAATAATGGCATCATTGGATGGTTGGATCTTCTCTCCGGGTGGGCCCAGCTCTCCTCGCTCCCCTCTTTCTCCTGGTTCTCCTTTCTCACCTGGTGGCCCTGCGGAGAACACCGTGCAAAATAGCTAGAACATTGTATTCGTAACCTCAATACACTTTGCCCCATTCTTGAAATGAATTGTCCCATTGAATTGCTGGCATGAATCATGCCATCCACTGTGGAGGAGAGCAGAGTGAAGTGGGAGAATACTGGAAGACAGTTTTCCAGTTCATTCAGCTGAAGCCCAAAACCACAGAGATGAATAATATCGGCAAGGGAAGAAAGCTGTTTCAAACTCTTCACTCATTCATGAAGCAAAAATGTGAATAAATTCTGCTTGCATTGTGATACATGGACAGAAAGAAGTCTGTGCGTGTGTGTGTGTGTGTGTGTGCATGCCAAGGAGTTTAAGTGGCTGTTTCTTCTTTTTTGCTATTTTAATACTTTTCTCTGCAGGTTATACTCAACCTTTTGACTTTTACATTGTGCCAGTACTTCTATGCTTAAATGGCCAAGATTGCCTGAGGACAAAATAAGGATGGATGCCGAGTGAAAGCACTAATTCCTTACCTTTTCTTCCTCTTTTCCCATCAGCCCCAGGAAGTCCATTCAGTCCTGGGATGCCATCAGTCCCATTGTGTCCAGGCAGGCCATCTGCACCAGGCAAACCTAGAGTAACACAAAAAAATCTTTACTGTGGACTCAACGAAAGAATAAACATTAAAAAAAGACTTATCAAGAATATGGGTCACTAAACCACAAAGGAGACATACCCTACAGCAGGTTTTAAATTTGGATTAGGAATTGTGGGTTGACTTACCCGGCGGACCTGGAGGGCCTGTAAACGAAAGTTTAGAAATGTTAGAGAATTTTTAAAAAGTAATATTCTGAACATGATCACATGATTCATACGAGTAAAACATACCAGCTATGCAGACTCCCCTGGTGCTGTTGCAAATATCAATCAGCACTTTGATCTGAAGTAAAAGAGGAAATAGAAAAAATATTAATGCAGTAAATTTAGCAGCATACTTTACCTAAAATTACTCTATTAAAAATAAAAACCCTGCACCTTTTAACGTGCCAGTTAAAGATGATCTGTGTAGACTTCAGAAACCCCTTCATGTTAAAAGACACCAGCGGCCATTAAGGAAACTGCAGTTAGCATCGTGTTAATTGTGTGGTGTTCACACTCAGTAGGTATGAGTCAGCATTCTGTGCACAGGCCAGAACATGAGCCTGACATACACATTAAACTGACTGATCATTTTGGTAGATGAGAAATGTTACTACAGTCTGAGTATTAATTGTTTTACATTTGACTCTGAGCTTGGTTATTATAGAGAAAAGAGCAAGAGGAGATTAAGAGCTTGTTGATGCTGACCCTAGTTCATGCAAGGCAGGCATCACCTTTTTAAAGTGCAGGTAGAATAACTCTGACTGCTGCACACTTTTGCTCTGTAGGGAAGTGGAGAAAAAGAAGCACTGAGACAAGGTGCTCTAAAGGAAGATTAAATGTTGCTTTCTTTGGATGTATGGGGTAAATCTAACTCCAGTCTTTTTATATGATAGTCTCTAGAATAGAACATCCAGTTTCTGTTTTGTAGTTCAAAAACTACTGACTAGTTTTACTCGTCTAGGCTTTGATTGCAGAAGGGTAAAGGGTTCATGTTCAGAGCAAAAGGGGACTGCACTGACTGAAGTGCTAGCTTGAAATCTGATTTGCTGTTGTCTCACAGTTGAATTTGTGGCTCTAACTTCATCCATTATGCATCTTGAAATCCGCCAGCTACACATAACGCCCCCAAACCCTTACCGTTACCCTCTGAGTCATCAGAAGCTAGTTAATGAGTTTCACAGAGTGTTTCCAAAGAAATCAGACTGTTCAATGTTACTGAGAATGTCAGGAATGTTTCCTTTTTTAAGTTACATTAACATTCATTGGCTCAAATTCAGTCATTCACATTGGTTGAAATTCTTTTGTATAGTGCTTTTAAGTCAGTATCTATAGAATAATATTTAAGATATATACATAATTATCTGCGAGGAATATTATTATTATTATTATTATTATTTGATATGTAATAATATTTACTTTGTGGCAGTGACTAGAGTAAGTCATATTCAATAAGACGAGCATGATTTGAATGCAGAATCTCAGTATGTTAA